ATGGAATACATCTCCTGCATGAAAAACAAAATTGGGGTCCCTTTTTATTCATAAAAGGGAATGGTGAGGACTACAGCTATGCTTGAGCAAAACGCAGTCAACATTGATCAGTCAAGCCACTTTGTTTATATACCTTTTACATATTCAAATATAAATTTATATATTTTGTTACTCCTTAACTACCCCTCTCTCCAGCTGAGAGGTTTGCTGTATCTACTGTCAAATTCTTTCACCCGATTCTTCTTCCATGCACGTGTGATACAATTTCTGCTCTTTCCTATGGAAAGGCCTTTTGACAAACTTTTGCCTGCCCAGTGGCTGGCCTTTTTTTTTTATTATAGGAGTTGATTATGCATCATTCATGCATAGAAGAAAAACTCAGCTGGGAGTTTAGAAGCAGCAGGAGCAAGTATGTATAGCACTTCAGAAGAGGATGGAACTTCTAAGGATATCTGTACTAGCATTACAGTTATGCAATAATTAATTTTCATCTTCATGTATCTTTACTTTCTACAGTGCACTCGGATAGAGAGACATTAAAAAAAAACGCTTTAAAATGAAAAATTTGGAAAGCCCTCCCACATGCCAGTACTCATAGAATCCACCATGAAACGCTCTTGAAAAGGTATAGATCATATCAATGGATTGCAAATCTTAACGCCAAAACATTTTTAAAATTAGTTTTTGATACAGTCAAAAATAAAATATTTTTTGCTGGAATAGGCATTTAAAATCCACTTACAGAATATGTCTCTGCTCTTATGTACTCAGACAGTTCAGCAATTGCTCACATTTAAAGGTTTCATTAAAAGAAAGCATTGGCAGAGACCATGTATTCTACTCAGACTTTGGTTGTAATTTTTAGCACATAAATTTGAATGTAACAGATTGCCTTTACTTAAAAATACAGAAGAGGTATTAAAAGGAAAAATGAAGCTGTACAAAAAAAATAATTTAATAAAGTGTATATGCAATTTAATTTACAGCATATTAGCTGTGCAAGGGTTTGGCGCAGTATTATGCTGGCCTGATATTATTACAAACTAGTGGATGCATGGTAATGGGATAAATGTGCTATTGATGTATGAAGAACGCTTATGAGCCTGCCAAACAGAGCGCAGAGATTATGACTGGACTTGGAACAATAAGTAGTAATGTCTAGCTAGCCAATTTTTTGTCATGCATGTAACATGTACCTACCAATCGGAAAACAGCTTGCAGCTGCTTAGAGTGGGCAGATGAATGAAAGATCTTTGGGTTAGTTTACAAGAATCCTGTTTTCCTTTTGGGCCTAAATACCAATTTAAGTGCAGAGTTAAAAAATGAGCGGAATTAAATGTTATCACCTCTAAATAACTTGTTTGGGTAAGTACCCTACACTCAAGGCAGCCATTTTGTTGGCAGAACCAATATAGTGCCTACAAAGCCATTACAAACTACTTACATAACACCATGGTCTCAATATTGATTTTTCCCACTATATAAACCATCATAAATATCTAACAGACTCAATATAAAGCAGTCCTAAAGTCAACATGCAAACATGCATTCCCATGGGTGGCTTATTAATAATGCCAAAAATGCAACTGATTGCACAGACTGATCTGTTGGATCAGCACTTCATAGTCTCAAAGAGCTAGGCAGCCTTCTGTCTTCCAGATGCATCTTGGGAGATTGGGGTCATCAGGCTGTCTTTCCTCTTTGGCTCTTTTATAAAACTCTACAACCACTGGTCCCTTTGCTGTTTGCATTATTGTAATGCACGAATAATATAGCACAAAGGAGTTATAAGGCTAGGATTTATTTTGATAAAATCAGCAGAAAACATTTTTTTCTCAGGCATTTTACCAGGTACATCTTCTGGTCTCTGCCCATTACCATACAATCCTAGGGGTGAGGAAAGGGACCTTTTTAAAGTTTCCGAAAATAACAAAATACATCCAAACCAGACATATACCATTATAAAACATTTATATTGCCTGCTAGAATACCTTTGTGATTCTGTACTCCATTTCCGACATTTTACCTCCTTTCTGCTGGATGCATGAATTTTACGATTGCAAACGTCAGAAAAAAATGAGATATTTAAGAGATTCTTTTGTGTTTGTTTTTTTAATTCCCTGTAGCTAAGGGGGAGACAACCATATGACTTCAAATCACCAAACATGCATCTAGAAGACTAACGGCGTGTTTTTTTTTTTTCAGTTTACAAGGAAGCGCTGATCCAATCCTTTTTATTCTTGCCTTTAGATTGTAAGTGTTCTGTTGCGCTTATGGTTATGTTGCTCCTTCGCCACCCCATGGAACTGCAATGTTTACTTCTAGACTTTAGATCTAGCTTAGAAAGGACATCTTATACCGTCTACATAAGGCTCGCCCTATATCATACAAGCATGAGATAATTAACTATACATATGCTCTGATTCCATAGGTATGAGACAATTAAGCAATATTGGTATGTTATAAAAGGAAAAATTTATAAATAATGCCCCATTCACAAACTAGCATTCCCCCTGTAGCACTAAGCATACAGAGCTCATCTAACACTAGGTAGGAGAAAAAGGAAGACAACGGACATGACATAAGCATCATGTGGATGAGTGCCACAAAAACAAAAGGACTGTTTCCTAAAAATACACAATGCTAAAGATAAAATGAATTTACATAAAATGTACAGCAAATGATTCTTGTTCAAAAAAGGTCCAGAAGCGCAATAACCAAGAACAATGTGTCCTTGCATGGTAGCAGACTGTTTCTTCTCAGGCTCACTGTACTACCAGAAAAGGCACAGGACTGTAGATGCCAAAAAACAACCTGAGAAATACAGCTGTGCTGCACACACAGAATGGGTCAGTATTTGCCTGGCACCACATTGCTGTGTGCAAAGATACTGCAATTCTGTGTGTGCCTAACACCCTGGATGTATATGAAAGAAAACACAGTCTATATGTATGGGATAATGCACATCTAAACATCAGTTTATGTGTTAAAAACAGCAAAATAAAACAATTTGCCAATGTAAAAAGCCCTAAATGGCTCTAATAAAGGCTTCATATTAAGTTTAATGTCACCTTGTAGTTCCTCTGAAAGTAGATTGGTTTGTATTTAAAGCAGCAGTCCACAGACCGAGACACCAACAAGACAACAGGAATGAGCTCTAGTCTATCCTGTACACAGTATGAAGATACATGTAGTGTAATGTAAGAAAAAATATATATATATATCTTATATACAAAGGGTTTCCATTGCTTCTTACAAGTTTTAATGGACTGGCATAAGCATCAGACGTTTTCATGGGCAAAGCCAAGAAATCAACTCCTAGTTTTATTTCCTTCCCAGAGCTTGACCATTAAAGAAACTGGCCTGTAATTTCAGAAAAGTAATTGACTTTCATCCATTTTATCAGTTATAGCTGAAACACAAACCAAATAAAATTTGTGGTGTCAGTAATGGAATATGGCCATTTTGGCATTAGGGAAAATATAAAGGTTGTATTAAATCTAGTCTGTCAGCAATAACCCTGTTCATAGGATTAGAGATATACATTTGTGCACCAACATTCATCAATATATCACCATGTGATAGAATAATCCCATGAAAGGACAATCACATCTATTAGTATATGTAATTATCACACAAATGCTTCTATCAGCACAGCCACTGAACAACTAGATCTTTAAAATTTGGCCAAGTGTACATTATCTAGCTGGATAGCCTGATCATATGATATATTGGTCCTTTAACCTAGAGCAAGTTCTTATGAAGTGGACAGATCATCCACATTGAACATTACAAAAGGCCAGTTATTTTGTAAAGTAATTCTGGGGTCAAACATTTCTGTAAATTACAATATGGCCAGAATTCCTTTAATCTGTACATGGGCTGTAAGGCTAATACAGTATGAAAATGGCCCTGGAGTATTATAGGATGTTAACCACATACAAGCTACGACATTTTCCATATCCGCGGCCTAAATGTCCCAACCCCCCAAATAACTGGCATTACATTTCCAAAGGTTTCTTTGTACCGTATTGCTACGCTACACATTAAAATCTCTGAACAATCTCCTTTATGTATACCAACAGCTCTGTAATGTAAGGCCCTAATTAAAAGAATATCCATTCCAGTAATGCATCTTAAAACATAGTTGTTGCCAAAGGAGATTACAATTAGATTAGAAAAGGAAATATAAAAAAAAACAACATCAGCTTCTAACATATATATGATATGTGTTACTTAAAAATGAAAAGAAAAGTAGGCCAACTAAATTGTTCCATGTTAAAACATGAAATATTTTCCTATTGTATGGATAGGATTCCTTCATTTGAGATTATTTTTTCCTTCCAGCAATGTTGTCTGAGCCCCAGTGTGCAAGGTCCAGCTCTCCAGCACAGCAATGCCTGGAGCAGCTTTTTATACAGTTTTTTTTGAAGGGTGTTGGCTTCAAGTAGGAGTCACATATAAATTTAGAGCGCAAAAGGAGAAACAAAACTACAGTGAACTGGAACATAGTGGCTGCTGCTTTAAATAAGGCCATCTACATATTCAGCTTAATACCGCTGCTATAAGTTGGTGTGGAAAGGCACACACCTGGAAGGATACTCAGAGGTAGATCACTATGGAACATTCCTGATTTCGTAGAATTCCACAGCAGACAGAGCCCTAGTTCAGGCATTCTGAAAATATATATTTTTTTTTGTAAAAGCACTACTAGGATGCCAGGTGGAAAAATCAAAATACAGGTATAAGACAGCCTTAAATACTGGAATTTGCAGAGTACCCTACTATCTGCTAAAACAAATGGACAAAAGGTCTTTTAAATTATAAATGTCATTTCCCTGTGGTTTGGTAACAAGTTCAATGTAGGTTAGATTCAAGCTTTTCCGTTGGTCTCAGGTCCTAGCTGTTGGTTGACTGCTGGTCCAATTTGCTGCAGCCAGATCTGCAAGCACTACAGGAAGTAACTAGTTGTTCTGAAAGGGCAAAAAGGCTCCAGGACTTTATTTTCCCCCATACATCCTCTCTATGTCTTCCTGGTAATGACTTTTCAGTTCCTTGCGCTTCAATTTAAAGGCATCAGTCACCAACCCAGTCTCAGGAGTCCAAGGCTCAGCGACTAGGCGGATCTTTGCCGGCATCTCAAACCTCTCAAGGGTAGCTGGAAGAAATTCATTCACATAAATTTGTTTACATGTTGTAAAATGTTGAACAAATATACACGCATATTATGTTAAATCTGAACTCCAGGCAAACCACCTAATACACATATGAAACATAGAAACTGTCTTATCTGCCAAAGAATTAGCATTTTTTGTTTTCAGTCCTGAGATTTACACAGCCCTTCCAGACTGTGTAGTTCTGTAGGATGCTGTAGGAGATCTGATTTAACTTATATACTACTACTTACAATGCCTTGAAAAAGTATTCATACCCCTTGAAAATGTTCCACATTTTGTCATGTTAAAATCCCAATAAAATACATTTACGTTTTTGGTTGTATGTGATAGACCAACACAAAGTGGCAAATAATTGTGAAGTGGAAGGAAAATGACAAATCGGTTTGCAAATTTTTTACAAATAAATATTTGAAAAGTGTGGTGTGCATTTGTATTCAGTCAACCCCTGAGTCAATACTTTGCAGCAAAAAGGTGGTTTTACAATTACAGCTGCAAGGCTTTTTGGGTATGTCTCTACCAGCTTTGCACATCTAGAGAGTGAAATTTTTGTCTATTCTTTGTTGCAAAATAGCTCAAGCTCTGTCAGATTGGATGGAGAGCATCTGTGAACAGCAATTTTCAGGTCTTGCCACAGATTCACACTTGGATTTAGGTCTGGACTTTGACTGGCCCATTCTAACACATGAATATGCTTTGATCTAAACATTCCATTGTAGCTCTGGCTGTATGTTTAGGGTCGTTGTCCTGCTGGAAGGTGAACCTCTGCCCCAGTCTCAAGTCTTTTGCAGACTCTTAACAGGTTTTCTTCTAAGACTGCCCTGTATTTGGCTCCATCTATCTTCCCATTAACGCTGACCAGCTTCCCTGTCCCTGCTAAAGAAAATCATCCCCACAACATGATACTGCCGCCACCACCACGTTTCACGGTGTGGATGGTGTGTTCAGGTTGATGTGCAGTGTTCGTTTTCTACCTCACACAGCATTTTGCGTTTAGGCCAAAAAGTTAAATTTTGCTCTCATCTGACCAGAGCACATTCTTCCACATGTTTGCTGTGTCCCCCATATGGATTCTCGCAAACTGCAAATGGGATTTCTTATGGCTCTCTTCTTGCCACTCTTCCATAAAGGCCAGATTTGTGGAATGCACGACTAATAGTTGTTCTGTGGACAGATTCTCCCATCTGAGCTGTGGATCTCTGCAGCTCCTCCAGAGTTACCATGGGCCTCTTGGATGCTTCTCTGATTAATGATCTCCTTGCCCGGCCTGTCCGTTTAGGTGGACGGCCATGTCTTGGTAGGTTTGCAGCTGTGCCATACTCTTTCCATTTTCAGATTATGGATTGAACAGTGCTCTGTGAGATGTACAAAGCTTGTTATATTTTATAACCTAACCCTGCTTTAAACTTCTCCACAACTTTACCTCTGATCTGTCTGGTGTGTTCCTTCTTGATGCTGTTTGTTCACTAAAGGGCTTCACAGAACAGTTATATTTATACTGAGATTAAATTACACACAGGTGGACTCTTTTTACTAATGGGATGACTTCTGAAGGCAATTGGTTCCACTAGATTTTAGTTAGGGGTACCGAGTAAAGGGGGCTGAATAGAAATGCACGCCACACTTTTCAGATATTTATAAAAACATTTTGAAAACCATTTATCATTTTCATTCCGCTTCACAAATATGTGCCACTTTGTGTTGGGTCTATCACATAAAATCCCAATACATTTACCTTTTCGGATGCAATATGACAAAATGTGGAAAATTTCAAGGGGTTTGATTACTTTGATTACTTTTTCAAGGCACCGTATTTAATACTTATATGCCTTGTTTCGCTCTCAGTCTGTAAGTGGATAGTGAACAAGTAGCTCACCGATGAGCTCATCCACCTGTTACTCTGCATTTTTTGCATGCTCCGTCAGAGCAGATGAGTACTGTATAACACTAGGCTACCTCCTATGACCATTTCTCCCTATCCTAGCCTGAGCTCTGCTGTACAGGTGAATAAGATGCTGAGGTCAAATGCAAGCACTTACAATACTTACATTTTAAAAAAAATACATAAACAGCTGCACTGTGTTTTTAGGGTTCATTCACCTTGCGTGCACTTTAAAGGCTCCATTATAGTGGGCACGCACCTTCAGTTTTTCTGTGTAGTTAATAATAATAATAAAAAAAAAAAAAAAAGGAAAAATGCAGCAGGCCTGAATGAGCCCTAAATAACAGCTTGGAGTTCGGATTTAAATCAGCTGTTAAAAAGGTTTAATTTAGCTTCATTTCCATTTTAAGAAATATATAGGGGTTTACTTGACAGCTTAGCTCTGCACAACTGTACCCACTAAAGAATACACACTATGGTAATATAGGTCAGTAATATTTGATTAATTCAGGACAGAAAATGAGAGCAGTTGCTATGGGTAATAGCAATAGCATATATTACCCAGCTATTGTAGACCAATGGTAGCCAAATTTATATAATGCAAATATCATTCCTGGACTGAAACCTGTGCACCAGGAAAACAATCCATTCTGACCTACCAGTAAAAGGTTTTTCCTGAAGTATAGTACACATTTCTTTAAATCATTATGAATGGGTTATATGTAGCTACCTTCAGAAAGGACACTGGCAAAAAAGAAAGCTGGACATCCCTCTATATAAAGCCTCATGTTCCTGTCCTCATGCTTCTGTACCAAGCAATAGAGAGTTAAGAAAAGAGGTGGGAGGTGTCCTGTACCGTACTCTTGGAAACCAATTTTATGCAAGTCAAAAATCCTATTTTCCTGATGGTGAAACACACAAGGTTCTCTAAATCCTTAGGACATGCACATCCAAAAGCAGTTCACATGAGGGATAAGCAACATGGCAGTAAGTTGAAAGCAGAGGAGGGGAGTTGGGGAGAAAGGAGGCCTAAGGCTTCAAGACAATTTTTGTCCTTGTCCAACAATAAGAAGCTTCGGACAGAAGAAGGCTGCCAACACTGAGACCCTCCTCACAGAGGAGATAGCCACAAGTAAAGCCATCTTACGGATAAGGTTTGACAAGGGAATCTCTCTAATAGGTTCAAAAGGAGACTTCTGAAAGAACCAGAACAAGATCTCAAGGGGACACAGAGGAACAAACAAGGCTGAGATTTGTCCCTTAATGGTTCTCAAGGCCAACTGTTTGTTGAAACCAGACCACAGCAATGACAGAATATGCCCCACAGACTACTTTCTAGAATAAAAGTGCCTCAACTCGCAGCAAGGAAAGTAACCGTTCTGGGTGCAATGGTAGGTTATAAGAAGTCGGTCATCCTTACTCTTTTGAAGGCTAGGAGGTAGACTCCAGAGGGCCCCCTTCTTTCAGGGCTGTGGGTTCAACAGATATGGCAAGATGGAGGAAGATATTCACTAACCAAAAAGGAGCCTGGACACATTCTTCTGACTGTGACGTATGTCCCATGTGCTGATATTTCTGTTTGTGATTTTGGCTGCACTAAGACTTTAAAGCCAGTGACCAAGAAGGTCCAATTTCATGCACACCGAACGTTTTTACAGCTGCTGTTTTTGGCTTTTTGGCGGCTTTTTCTACAGCCAGTAAACTCCCCAGCATGTTATCCTATGTGTCCATGCACACAGACTGGAATCAACGTTTTTTGGCTGGAAAAAAAACCCCCCAGAACTAGTGGATTTCTAGAGGAGTTTTTTTAGCTGTAAAAAAAAGATCCAAAAGCTGAAAAACGCAGCAAAAAATGTGGTAAACCGCTGCAAACCGGCGTTTTTGGACTTGGAGGGGGGAAAAAAAAACCCACGAAAAAATGCGGCAAAAACGCCACTAAACATTAATGCAAAAATACACTAAAAAAAAAAAAAAAAAACAAGGAAAAACTCAGGTTTTTAACGTGACTTTGTACAGCTAACGTTACCAGCGTTATTAAACCGCCCCGTGTGCAAGGACCCTTAAAGTGATTCTAAAAGGATTATTTAAAAAACAAAAAAAAAAACCAAACATGTCGATACTTCCCTGCTGTGTGCAGTGGTTTTGCACAGAGCAGCCTGGATCCTCCTCTTCTCAGGTCCCCCTCCTGCGCTTCTGGCCCATCCCTCCTGTCGTGTGCCCCCATAGCAAGCAGCTTGCTATGGGGGCATCCACTGCTCTGTGTATCCATTCACACACGGAGCAGCAGCTCCCCCCTGCCAGCTCTCTCCTTTCATTGGCTCACTGGCTGTGATTGTCAACAGTGGAAGCCAATGGCTCCTGTTTCTATCTCAGCCAATGGAGGAGAGGGAGTCCCGGGATAGATGAGACTCTGGTGCGCATCGCTGGATCGAGAGGGGGCTTGAGTCTTTAGAACCACTTTCAGAATGTCCTTTTACTCAATGCTGCATCACCATAGCATCCTCTTCGAAGGTCTGGGGTTTCCTGCACCCAGCAACAAACATGTCCATGTACCAAGGAGTCCAACAATCCAGAAGCTGTAGAAGGAGCCACAATGGCAATTGTGCAGCCCAGGGGAGGAAGGGAGAGTGCGGGAAAGATCATTTCCATCCAGACAGGAGAGGTGCATAACCTAAGGACACTAGTAAACTAAGGCTAGCTGGGAGTATGAGGGCTTGTATAGCGAGCATGCCCCTGTAGCACAATACAGCTTGTTGTGAAAAAATGTTAGCCGGCTCTTAAACTGGGCTGACCAGTTACACAAAAATGCAGTAATGAAGTTCTAGCAGGACGTCAGACTGCCTCTGCATAAAGCCTAGGGAAGTAATATCTGCTTACCTGCTGCGGACGATTCTGCCAACACTCTAAGGACTTCTTTCTCCATTATCGGATTATTGCACAGAGACTCAAAACTTCCTAGAACTCTCTTCTGCTCAGCCAGCTTCAAGAGCTCCTTCTGGTTTGGCACCACAAAAGCCGATCACATATGACTGATCACTGCAAAAAGGAAGAAAAATGTCTGTAAATGAAAGTACCAGCAAGCCTACATCTATATATCTATAAATGGGCTATAACAATTCTAGGAAAGATTAGGTATGGTTTTTCATATTTGGTACAAAGCCAGCAAGAGGGAAAATGCAACATACTTTGCAACATAAAACTGAAAGGAGTCAGCAGATGCATGCAGTAGAAAGAAAGTGCAATACTAGCATGTGAACAGAGCCCATTTCTGTAGAATCAGTGTGGAAATAAGCCAGACATAAACTAAATAGAAATTATGACTTATGAATGAATTATGTGAGCAATGACCAAATCAGCTTCTAAACAAATATCAGCTTTATATGCACGTAGTGTAGGTCCTAATTGGAATCTATCCCAAATTTCTACCCAGTCTTCTGGCTGTTGATATTTTAAATGTTTGAAAAAGGGATTATACACTAAAGTAGTAGTAAAAACACAGTAGAAAAAAGTAAGATTATGTTTTTTAATAAAGCAATCTGGTACTTTTCTACTGTGTTTTTAACCACTTCTTTAGTGTATAATCCCTTTTTCAAGCATCTAAAATATCAAACAGCCAGGAGACTGGGTAGAAGTAATGAAGTTTAGAGGATAGAGTCTAATTAGGACCTACAATACTGTGCATATAAAGCAAGTTGCTTTTTTTTTTTTTATAAAATCAAACAAAAACCCTTTACTTCCATGATATTCTTTTTTTTTTTTTTTCTTGCAATGAATAATGGATTAGGCAATTAAGGTGTTCACTACCCATCATAAACAACCACCAAATATTAAAATTGCTCCTTATTACAGATATTTTAACATTTGTGAATTCTCTATACAACCAGCACAGATTTGTCTCTTTTCAGGTACTCCGGTGACAGTAAGAACAGCAGATGGCTTAGACGTATGCCCATCTTTTCCTAAGACATCTAACTCTAATTTGGCCAGATGGCTCTTGTTGTAATATAGAACAAGGTGCTGTTCACACCAGTGCATTACAGGAATGTGCACAAAATCACACTTTCCCTCAATGTACAAAAACATGCTGCCCCTTTGTAGACAAAATAAATAAGACAGCGCTTAACCCACTGAAACATCAAAAAACAGGTTGTGCTATACAACAAGCCTAAAATACATAAAATAAATTTTAAAAAATGGACCTGTGCGAATAAAGTGCAATCAATAAAAAACAATAATACATCAAAAAAAAAAAAAAAAAAAAAAGATTCATAAAGTGTCCTGTGTTCTTGTGCAACATATCATAGCCCAAAAAATAACCACATGTAACAAGTGTCCAGTGCTCAAAATACTGAAAAATGTGCTCCCACTTTAATCCTGAAATTCTTTAACTCCTTCACCACCAACCACAAATGATCTATTCTGCTTAACCAGCCAAACAATGCCTTTAATCAATTTCTGATATGGAGTGCACAGAGGTGGTGGTCACTTTTAGTTGGCGTTGAAGGAGTTAAAGAATTTCAGGATTAAAGTGGAAGCACTTTTATTTAATATTTTGAGAACTGGACACTTTATAACATATATATCTCTCTTTCTCTTGACATGTACTCTTTGCAGACACGCAGCAGTACCACCATTTAAATGGCACCCCCATGCATCTGTATGTGCCAAAACACATGGTATTGTAGTACCATGGGGTTTCATGCTGCACTATTTTTAAAATGGTGCAGGCACCTTATTTGCACATTTCTCGTGCATAGGCGATCCCATTAAAATTAAAAGGTCTGCTCTTAATAAAACACAAACAAAAAAAAACTATGCGTGCCAAGTCACATTGCCTGGTGTGAACGAAGCCTGTGGGAAGGAAATCTGGAGATGTGGCCCATAGCTACGGTTTCCTCATACTATTTTGCTGTAAAGGCAAGTTCAAACCACTGGTGGATATAGACAGGCAATGGCTAAATGGAGACCTTCAAAACTGCACTGCGATGCATCTATAACAAGTGGCAAAGCACATGATAAATAACATGCAATACTGCACGTGTTTTCAACCACATCTGACCACAACCACACCTGCTACTGCAGAACAACCAAGGTTTAGCGCTGCCCAAAAATCTCCCAGTTCCTCCATTGTTTGGAACTGAAGGTTACAAGTAACAAGTGCCCATTCATCGTATATATCCATGCTCCTATTGCATAATGAGCTAGCCACAGGTTTAGAGAAGAACACATGGAAAGTCACTATGTGTGCAGAAAAAACCCTGCCCCAGAAAAAGTCTGCAAAGTCACACAACCATATTCCTAAAATGTGGACTGCACCTTGAAAAGGAAAGCAGCAGAAACGGTCACAGCAGAGATGACTCTTTGTGAGTTTTGGGATACAACCAGAATGAGTCACTAAGCTGCGGATACACTTCTCGTCCAGCACTGTTTAAAGGAATCCTGTCCTAAACTATAGACAAGAAATATATGAACATCTTGCTGCCAGACATTGTAGAAGTCGTGACAGACTGCACAGAAGCGGTCACTGGAATATGATCAGTTCATGTTAACATTTGGCCTTAGACAATCTGCATAACCACCCGAGCTATTGAACTTTCAACAACTCAGCACTTCAATAACTTTTACCAACATTCTATTGCACAATGGTGACTGTTCTACACAACCATTTCAGAGATTAAGGGCTCATTCACACCAGTGTGCAGAGGCGGGTTTTCCTGCATGCGTTCTGCAAGGACACAAAGAAAACAATTGTTCTTTATGTGCCCTGTTCAAACCACTAGTATAACGACCGGATTTTTTCTGCCCAGGAAATCTGCAATGTGTAAAACAACTCACTGAAATGCGCATGAAAAAACACATGTTCTCTGCAAGTGAAATCTGCATGTTTTTTCATAAGTTGTTCTGCACCCATGGTGTGAACAAGACTAATCAAGTTCACCTTTGTAAAAAAAAAAAAAAAAACAACAATAAATGTGCACATCTTTTTGCACGTAAAAAAACAACATGTCCCACCCAAAGACTATGCAAAGCATTGCACTTAAATCGAGGCTCCTGCAGACTGCCAGTGTAAGCTGTCTACTCATATATCATATGGGCAGGTAGTTACAGGACAGGAAGAATCAATGAACTACCTAGCGTGCTCATCAGCGACCTAGCAGTTTATTGAGAACTACAAGCCAACAGTCACAAAGGCTGACGGTACTTGTAGTTGAATAATAAGGGATCCTCCTGCGCTCATGGGAATAATTGACAAAATACAGCTGCTGTCACTTAGCTGATACCAATAAGTGCAAAATAAAATTAAAAATTAGTGAAGCGCTTGTATCACATGAATACAATCATGTATCTCCATATAGTGTAATTATAAATCAAAGTGACCACTATATATAATAAATGTGTGTTGACTTCCTCTAGTGAAAAGAAAAAATAGTGTCAACCAAAATAGCTAAATAACACACATTAGGAAACTAAATATATAGTGCATAAATCAAATATAATGAACAGAATATATATATACGTGAAAACAGAATATTGGCCACATACAATGGTGTCTAAATTATACATAAATGATATATGCCATAGGTGAACAAGACAATATCAAAGGTGAAAAAAATATTCCATGCATGTGACTGTGCTTTAAGCTGGAACACACACGTGATCTCCACTTCTAAGTGCAAGTACTCTCCTTCAAATGGCAGCAATGCCTGCTCACCTCCCTTCCTCGACCCACACAGGGCCTCAAAGCAGTTACCACCTCAGTGGTGTATTCCTCTGGCAGACTCCTTATTCCTCCTCCTCTCTTATGCAACTCATAAAAAGACAAGAAAGCCTTCCATAGTGTAGTAAATTTAATAGGCAAAGTTAAAAATTACAAAGTATTCCACTCACATGCTCCTTTCCATAAAAAAGCGTTTTTCCCAGCCTGTGGGTAGATATGCATGCACCTGGGGGAATCCAATATGGCCACTGTGTCCGGACATAAGTCACCAGGAAGTAGACAACCCTGATGAAGTCACGACGCACGTGACGCTACGCGTCGGTTTGTCTACTTCCTGGTGACGTAATGTCCGGACACAGTGGCCATATTGGATTCCCCAGGTGCATGCATATCTACCCACAGGCTGGGAAAAACGCTTTTTTTTGGGAAAGGAGCATGTGAGTGGAATACTTTGTAATTTTTAACTTTGCCTATTAAATTTACTACACTATGGAAGGCTTTCTTGTCTATTTATGAGTTGCATAAGAGAGGAGGAGGAATAAGGAGTCTGCCAGAGGAATACACCACTGAGGTGGTAACTGCTTTGAGGCCCTGTGTGGGTCGAGGAAGGGAGGTGAGCAGGCATTGCTGCCATTTGAAGGAGAGTACTTGCACTTAGAAGTGGAGATCACGTGTGTGTTCCAGCTTAAAGCACAGTCACATGCATGGAATATTTTTTTCACCTTTGATATTGTCTTGTTCACCTATGGCATATATCATTTATGTATAATTTAGACACCATTGTATGTGGCCAATATTCTGTTTTCACGTATATATATATTCTGTTCATTAATTTGTTTTGCACCCATGGTGTTATATATTTGAGTTTTCCTAATGTGTGTTATTTAGCTATTTTGGTTGACACTATTTTTTCTTTTCACTAGAGGAAGTCAACACACATTTATTATATATAGTGGTCACTTTGATTTATAATTACACTATATGGAGATACATGATTGTATTCATGTGATACAAGCGCTTCACTAATTTTTTAATTTTACAAGGTACACTTGGGGTATGGTACTTGTAGTTGACCCATTCACAGAACTCTGAATGAATGTCGCAGCTGGGTGGACAGTGCATTTTTTTTTTTCAAATTGTGACAGCGGGTGCAGGGAGAGGACCTCTGTCTTGCTGTCACAACAGGGGATTTGGGGGGGGGGGGGCTGATGCAACAGTAACATGTTACACCCTGTATACGGGTAACAGTAACCTGTTACAAAAAGGTGAACTTGCCCTTTAAGGGTTTTCCGGGATTCATTTTTAGACATTCGAATCTGCTATAGATTAAATTTGTCTCATTAACCATCAAATTTTCAAATGTGTATGATTCATCCAATTTCCCACTCTACATACTGTAGTAAAAAGACAGGCAGTTCAAAACAAGGAGTCTGAAAGTTAGAAAATATTCTAGCACACAAATCATTACAAGATGCCTAACCAGTAGCCTTCCCTCCTAACGGAATAAAGTCTCTGACTTTAACAGGAGGCTGGGGGGGAACACATTATAGACTATTATTAGCAAACATTACATGCCATCCTATCAGAACTTCAGAATTCATCCCCATCAGGAGTCACCCCATAACAGAATTCAAATCCCCTCATCATAAGATCAAAACCACTGTTTGAATATCAGATGTAGATAGGGCTCCTTGTTCATTGTGATATCCACACCAACATCATATTATGGCTTCTTCCTATATGCAGTATTTACATACATGGGGAATATTTTGGTAAAACATTTAAAATGTGAATTCTAGACCTTGCTACACCAGGCTAGGTTTTAAATATATTCTTTTCATATACACTGGTCTAAATACCAGAAATAAAGGAAATCTAAGCAGTGCAAGTACTGGATTTTGATTTATCTAATTTAAAGCCCTAGTAAAGTAGATCTCAGACTGGGGGAGGGAGAAGCAGAACAAGGGCCAATAAGGTGTGCTGCACTGCAAGAAGCATGATAAAAAGGAGTGTGCTGCTTCTCAATTTACTATACAATCAAAGGGTGGGGAAGGAGACCTTAAGTGAAATGGCAGCAGAAAAATATCAGGTCGCCTCTACTACCAGGCAGCATTGTGCTATGTGGCAGAGCTGTATACAGTGGATATAAAACGCCTACACACCCCTGTTAAATGGTCAGGTTTCTGTGATTTAAAAAAAAAGACAAAGAAATCATTTCAGAACTTTTTCCACCTTTAAATGTGACCTATTAACTGTACAACTCAATTGAAAAACAATCTGAAATCTTTTAGGGGGGGGGAAGTAAGCATAAAAAAACTAAAATAAATGTGGTTGCATAAGTGTGCACACCCTCTTATAACTGGGGATGTAAGCAACTGTTCAGAATTAAGCAATCACATTCAAAATCATGTTAAATAGGATTCAGCACACACCTGCCATCATTTAAAGTGCCTCGGATTAACCCAAAATAAAGTTCAGCTGTTCTAGTAGGTTTTTCCTGACATCTTCTTAGTTGCATCCTACAGCAAAAGCCATGGTCCACAGGAAGCTTCCAAGGCATCAGAGGGATCGCATTGTTAAAATGTATCAGTCAGGAGAAGGGTTCAAAAGAATTTCCAAGGCATTAGATCTACCACGGAACACAGTAAAGACAGTCATCATCAAGTGGAGAAAATATGACGCAACAGTGACATTACCAACAACTGGCCGTCCCTCCAAAATTGATGAAAAGACGAGAAGAAAAACTGGTCTGGGAGGCTGCCAAGAGCCCTACATTGACATTAAAGGAGCTGCAGGAATATATGGCAAGTACTGGCTCTGTGATACATGTGACAACAATCTCCCGTGTTTTTCATATGTCTGGGCTATGGGGTAGAGTGGCAAGACGGAAGCTTTTTCTTACGAAGAAAAAACATCCAAGCCCGGCTAAAGTTTGCAAAAACGCATCTGAAGTCTCCCAAAAGCATGTGGGAAAAATGTGTTATGGTCTGATGAAACCGAGGTTGACCTTTTTGGCCATAATTCCAAAAGATATGTTCGGCGCAAAAAACACCACATCACCAAAAGGACACCATACATACAGTGAAGCATGGTGGTGGCAACATCATGCTTTGGGGCTGTTTTTCTTCAGCTGGAACTGGGATCTTAGTCAAGGTGGAGGGAATTATGAACAGTTCCAAATACCAGTCAATATTGGCACAAAACCTTCAGGCTTCTGCTAGAAAGCTGAACATGAAGAGAAACGTCATCTTTCAGCATGACAACGACCCAAAGCATACATCCAAATCAACAAAGGAATGGCTTCACCAGAAGAAGATTAAAGTTTTGGAATGGCCCAGCCAGACCCCAGACCTGAATCCGATCAAAAGTCTGTGGGGTGCTCTGAAGAGGGCTGTGCACAGGAAATGCTCTCACAATCTGACAGATTTGGAGAGTTTTTGCAAAGAAGAGTAGACAAATATTGCCAAATCAAGATGTGCCATGCTGATAGACTCATACCCAAAAAGACTGAGTGCTGGAATCAAATCAAAAGGTTCTTCAACAAAGTATTAGTTTAAGGGTGCACACACTTATGCAACCAAATTATTTTAGTTTTTTATTTTTACTTCCCTCCACCTAAAAGATTTCAGTTTGTTGTTCTGAGTTGTACAGGTTACATTAAAAAGGTGGAAAAAGTTCTGAAATTATTTATCTTTGTCTCTTTTTTTACATCACAGAAACCTGACATTTTAACAGGGGTGTGTAGACTTTATATCCACTGTTAATCTCAGGATTGGATGGACAGAAATCCAAATTCCCTGGAAGGAAAAAAAAATCATTTCATCTGTGTATTTAGATTTTTGTGTGGATCCCAACTGGTATTCCAGATTCCAACCCCTACTGTAAAACAGACAACCTCTGCCTCTATAAATTACTCCTGCACTTGTGCATTCATAGCTATATATCTGCATAGAACATTAATGGTCTTATTAGACTAGAACTGCCAAGTTCATATGTCAGCAGCTCCAGAAAACAGATCAATTTGCAGGTCAGGTGGCTTCACTTACCTGTTAGCATATGCACAGATGTTATCCACAATGGGGAGGTTCTTCAAGGCAGCTTCCACTTTTCCAAGTGAAACATATTCCCCTGCTTGGAGCTTTACCAGGTCTTTTTTCCGGTCTAATGAAGAGATTAATCACAAAAATGGTAATCTCACATGTGAGCAAATCTATATTGCTGCTGTAATCATTCAACATGCATGCAAACCCTGAAAGGTATTACAGTTTCTTCAATTTGAGAAGGAAAAATCAGCCATATTAATGAATTCGCACAGCATTGTACATTGAGATCACTGAGAAATATGATAAATCATGCTCAAACCAGCTTTGCAATGACACGAAGCCTATAAAGTAAATTTATGTGCTAGGAGTACTGCATACAGTAAATAGGCAATGAATGGTTTCAATTATACACAATAAAGGCATTATTTGAATCAGAGTTCTCTCTATAAACTTAGAAGTAATCTAAAAAATTAGTTTATGATGTGCATGGATATAAACAAATGACTTCTAATTTATATACTGCCTATACGTTTATAGACCAAATTCTATTTTGATTTAAGTAATGCCTTTAAAAAAAGGTAGATCCCAGTACACCTTGACTCCCAATCCTCCCCTCTGGCTCAGACCTTGATGAGCTTCCCCTCTCCACAAGGTTAACCTGGTAGTGAGAAATGGGGGGGGAACGACACTGGAAGGAAGACACTTAGAATGGAGCCACCATGATTCCCCACCTGATGTCTCCATAGCAGTACTCCCTCTGATAGGGAGAGGAAATCAAGGAGGGGAGGATGGCCTGATGTAAATTTATAGTCTGTTTCCTATACCTTGCAGGTAGGGAGAATTTTCCCTCAAGTGTGCAGCAATGAGAGGTAAAGCCTGTAGTTACCCCCCACCAAAAAAAACAAAACAAAAAACAAAAACAGCACAAGGGACATTGCTTCAGTGAGACATGTCCCTTGTGCCATGTCCTCCTTTAGCAGACGTCTTCCTTCTCCAGTGCCTCCCCCCCCAGCGCCATCATCTTCCGGGGGGGGGGGGGGGGGGGGGGGGGGGAGGGGGGGGGGAATAAGCTGAAGGACCATGACAGGCAGTCATCAAGATTGCCCGACTATGCTTACCCTTACCGCCCAGCTGCTCAATTTATAGAAATCATTACTATAGCTTCAATACATGAAACACAATCTATGAATGGAGAGGGAGGAACTATAAATCATCTTCCTGTCCCCCATTCAGGGAACATGTTACATTCATAAGAGCTGTTGTACCAGCTTCTATGAATGGAGCAGCTGGGTGGAAAGGTGACCATAGTTGGGCACTCTTCATGAGTGCCTGTCAGGCTCTTAGTTACATTAACCCCCCCTGAACCTAAAGACTTGGGGGCAGCGAAGGAGGAAGGTTTTAGTGAAAGAAGGACACAGAAGTACAAGGGACATGCCACTGCAGGTAAATGATGTCCCTTGTGCTGATTTTTTTTTTTTTTAATAGGTAAACTTGAGATTTAAGATGCCAATTTTCCTGCCTGAAAATGTAGAGGATGAAACAAAAAAAAGGTGTTTGGACCCAGTTAAAAATGGTCTGGGAAAATTAAGAAGCCATCATATAAACTTAAATTTGTAAGAATAAAGCAGAGTCTAAAAGAACTATTTTAAATATCGGTCAAGCCTAAAATATCAACTTTAAGGCTGGAGAAATCTTATCAATTGGGAAAACCACTGGAAGCAAAAAATGAAAGGGTCTCTTTGGAGCCTTTTCTAATACATCAATTGGAGCTTGTGCACTCGCTCTCATTAAACATGGCTGCTGGCCCCTAAATTCTGCCTTTATTCATCCACGCAATCTATCCTCATTCCAGCATTAAAAGTTCAACTCCAGCCAAAACATTTACAATTTTGCTGAGGAAGAAGAAGTGGTTACAGCCTCTGCCATATTTTTTTATTGTCATTTGTGTCCCTAATGGGGAGATTACTCCCTGACTTAGTCAGGATAGGAAGTGATGGGCATTCTCTCCAACAGGTACAATAAAAGCAAAAAAACATACTTTTAGTAAACTAAGGAAGTTTTTACTGCTGTCTATGACTATCTGTTCTGGAGATGCCCAGACCCACAAAATCCATGCAAAGTGATCACAGACAGGAAGCGAGGAAACAAATTCTCCAATGTAGTCCCAAGCAGGAAAAAAAAAAAAAAAAAAAAAACTGATCAAAAATGTAACTCCAAAATTAAAAAAAAAAAAAAAAAAAAAAAAAAAAATCTAGAGCTGGACATCCATGCACAGAAATGGCATGAAAACGCATTAATAGAATACACATGAACTTGCGTTTAACTTTTCTGTAATTGTGGCCAGCCATCCAAGTTTTGGAAGTACAATGTGAATGTAACTTAAAAGATTGGCAGGAGAGAATCATAAATCCTTTGGCATGTGGAACTGTGAACAAATATATTTCAGCTGTGTGTGTTTGCCTTTTTGCTGGAGTTTTACTTTAAGCAGACTAGCTGCTAAGAATAGAAGTACAAGAGCTTAGTAACTCTGGGTCAGTGTGTTAAATAGACAGGTCTGTTAGTAATGACCAGTACAACATACAAATTAAACAAATCATCTACCATTGCCAAAGTACTAAAGAGCTGCTAGATTATAGAAGAGATTTGATCTACGTCTTTGGTAGTACACAGACGACTGGAAAGCCTAATATTGTTAACAGGCATCGAAGAGTAACACTGGAAAATGGTACCTTAACTTTTCCGCAAATAACCAATAGTAATAGTAATATGCCAGAAGTTAATATTTCATGCTAAAAACAAAAGAAAAGGATCTTTAAGGAAAGAGGTAATATTTTCTTTATCAACGTCAAAATGTGGCAACAGCAATTCAGCTGTTGATGAACCAAATGTCTGGCAACTGCGGTCCATTTGCAACTCATTTAAATAGCATTTTCTGAACAGTAGAGAGAGGCTAGCCATACACAAGCAGGTGCCTCAAGATGGACGGATGATTTGCAGCACTGGAACCTTCCCACCGCTTCTCATACAACTTGGTCAATGGGAACGTATTGACCAGGTCAAGCAAATTTCAGACACACCAAATACAGCAATAACTGCTAAGCTTATAGTAAAACTGTTCAGCAGACACCATTGAACAAATTGATAGCTCTGATCAGTGGCTGATAAGAGCTAGTAAAAACATGTTTTACCAGCCCCCTTCCTTTTCTGAAGGAATACAGACAGTGATCAGTACAGATCGCTTCTGTATTCATTAATCAGTGACACATAGTTTGTAAATGATATACAGTAAACACTGTTTACAATGTTTCATTTTATGTATAGGAGTCTCTATATAGACTCCTATCTCATTCATCTACAGTGCAGCTCAGTCTGCAGAGAAAGGGACGGTTTTTTGCCCTTGTCTCAAAAGAGACATGAAAAGGCCTGCTTAGACCCATGGGGGTTTATTTACTAAAGCTGGAGAGTCCAAAATCAGACTCCCTTCTGCATAGAAACCAATCAGCTTCTAACCTCAGCTTGTTCAATGAAGCTTTGGCAATGAAACCTGGAAGCTGATTGGTTTCTATGCAGAAGGGAGTCTGATTTTGGACTCTCCAGCTTTAGTAAATAAACCCCATGATGTCTCTCCAAAGATCCCCCCCCTCCAAAATATAAAAAATAATAAAATAAAAATGTAAACAATGAAAATTGTACCTGTACAAAAAAACAAAAAAAAAAAAAAAACATAGCATGGGTAGATTTACCCCTGCCTGCTACCCACTACATCTTAAGGGTGGGTGGCAAAAATGCAGTTCAACCGAGCAATTTTGCAGCTCCCCAACCTCAGGTCTGGGGACACTACAACGAGGCCATGCAACCACTGTGTCCCAACTGACATGAATAGGACTGCCTGCACAGGGATGCACAGAACAGAATAGTGCATCTCTGTGCGGGTAAACACAGCCCTCCATGGTTGTACGAGGCCTTAGTAGGAATTTAGCAGGGATCATGTACGTTACGTTGTGTTTGTGTGCAGAAAAGAATTTTAGTGTTTTTTAGCAAAAATAGTAATTTCATAAAAGAAAAAAAACAAAAAACTTTTGCACAACTATGGTGGGGCCTAAAAAAAATACAAACAAAAACAAAAAACAAAACAGTAACACCTTTTTATTCTACTGGTCCAATGCTTTCAAGAAAATATATGGTTTGGGGGTCTTTTACAGAATATTAAAGCTGTAAAGGGAAAAAAAATGGAAATCTCCAGATTTTTAGAGAAATTTGGTTATTTACATTTTTGCGTGCGCGCTCGATTCTCACCATGTTGCAAAAAGGCGTGATTTAACATTTACAAATATTTGTTATTTGCCAACTCAATACACACTACGCTTTTATATTTAGTAAGAATTTAGCAGGAATTCTGCAAAAAAAAATTTGCTGTGTTTGTATCTGCTAATAATGATTTTAGTCTAGTTTTAGCAAAAATATTGTTTTGAAAAAGGTTTGTGCAAATATTGTGGGGCCTTAAAAATCAATTTAAAAGTGGAGCGCAGGGCTTGGCAGTGAAAGGGTTAACAGTAGCACAATTTCACAAGGGGAGGAAAAAAAAAAAAAAAACCTAAAAAAAAACCTAAAAACCCGTTAACTTAAGATTACCATTAGCATTGGTGGTCCCTTCCATAGATCTCAGTATTTATTATAGACCTATTTTTCAACAAAAACCACAAAGGAAATCTTAAAACGCCCTCTTACCGATTATTTTTAAGCAGCCATCAGGGTGGAATTCACCAACATCTCCGTGCAAAACCAGCGCTGACCATTTTCATCCACACAAAAGTCATCCTTTGTCTTCAGCTCATTTTTATAATACCCCATTGTAACATTAGGTCCGCCAATCAAGATTTCCCCTCTGGGACATGGCTTGTCAGTATTGAAGTAACCTCCTGTGAAAGAGATCAGTTAACATGTCACTCAACACAACATGTCACAAGAGACTATTTACCAACATGAAACAAAAATATCAAATTCTTGTCACATTAACATGCAATTATTCCCACAAAGAGTAATCCGCACACACATTAAAAACCCACTGACCCTAATCATGAGAAAATACATTTAAGAATAACATGACATGTCACACAGGAATTGAGCTTATCGTGATTCTCAAAAGTCATTTCCTGCCAAAAGATATTTCACTGAAATCCGAAATGTTTACGAGAATATATGATATTTAAGGACAGAGCTAGTGATAAGTGTCCATAGGCCTGAATCACCCTGCTCTCTATCAAAATGACACTCACTATAGAACTATTATTTGCACATCTAAAACACTGGATCAACTGCTCACTTAAAGGCTTACTCCATCTTTAAGACCATGTTAAATTCTTATTTACGGTGTAACATGGTGCCAAGTGGTCAGTGTAAAGATTGCATTACTTGCAAGCATCCAATCTGCACTGATCAAAAGTACAATACACAACAATGTGAAGCCCAGGCCTGAGAACAAGACAGCTTCTAGGGTGCATTCTGCTTTCCACAATTGGCAGAATTAAACCATATGGGGTGGGGAATGGGGCGTGCATGGATAAATCTATGCAGAGAATGCCTTCAAGCAGTTTGTGGTCTGTTACAACTAATTATATGTGTCTAGGGCCCTAGACATTGCCTGCATACGCACAAGTGCAAAATGATTGCAACTTAACTTACCTTCTTCCCAGTTCTTGAGTCTTATCTCACAACACACCAAAGGTGCTCCCACTCTGCCCGTACTGAAGTCACACACTGAAAGACAGAGTAGCCCTGTTACTAAATGGCAAATGTGGGTATCTTCCACACACAAATAATGCATAGATACCACGATTTATCGTAAATTACATTGGACTAATAGGTTGTATTAAACAAGGTTATGCAACAAACAAGTTTATTGCAAGCTGAAGTTAATCTGCTTATATTTTGTGTTCTTTGGTCCCACACCCTCAAACTTATTTTTTTTTTTTAAACACAAAACAAAAAAAAACAAAACATTTTACTTTTACCTTTTACTACCATTTTACTTTTCATACCTTATTTTAAAAACCCAGTAATGTCATCACCAGGTCTCTGTGCTTCTTAGTACAATGCAGGCAGATCATGACTTCCATCGCAGCCTCCTGCCTCAGTACTCCACTCAAGAGCCCATGGTTCTGATGCAAGCATTGGGCTGGCTCTTTGGAGGAGTTATAAAGATATCAAAATGTCTTGATGGGTGGATGTCAGCCTGAAGGAGTGGAGATTCCTAAACAAGCTGCATTATCATGCAGACTGCCTTAGGTAAAGCCCACATACAATGATGATCATCCTTAATGACTGAAAGCTGAAATCCAAGGAATGAAAGTGGTGGGCTAGGAATAGTAAGGCAAAGAATATATGACGCTATGGGGTTTATTTACTAAAGCTGGAGAGTCCAAAATCAGACTCCCTTCTGTATAGAAACCAATCAGCTTCTAACCTCAGCTTGTTCAATGAAGCTTTGGCAATGAAACCTGGAAGCTGATTGGTTTCTATGCAGAAGGAGTCTGATTTTGGACTCTCCAGCTTTAGTAAATAAACCCCTATATGTCCCTCATCGAGGAAATGAAGTGGACTGTGTGACTTGCTGCAACTTCTAAGCCCTATACACACAGGCCAAATATTGGCTGAAATCAGCCACTACAGTAGAAACCAGCCGACATTTGGCCTGTGTATACTGGTCCTTGTCTGACAGAAGGTGGTCTAACAGCTGGTTCTGTCGAACAAGCAAGCTATCATGAAATCATAAAATTAGAAGCCAATCGTCATCCAACCAGCACTCTCAGCCAACGGCTGTGAGCGCTGACCAGTGTGCTCTGGCGCGTAGAGATGGGGGGGGGGGTCGCAGTGCCCCTGTCAGAACACAATAGCAAAGCAAGGAGATCACTGTACTAACATCGCATAGTTTAGTACAGAGACTTCAGTTTTTCTTTTTTCCGTTCAGTCTACTATGTACCAGGCATAGCGTATATAATGTACAGTGTAGTGCATGCTCACAATATGCAGTAAAATCAAAGGAATTTGATTTCTGTGCAAGACTGAAGGTAAGGCTGGTGTTTAGATTTAAACATTCTAGTTCCCCAGATTCAACCCCCTTTTTGAACATTCGCACTTGTCGGTTTTCAAAACCATTTTAAGCAGAAATCCCATTCTCTTCTATGTGGTTGGTCATTTCTGTGCTACAGTTTAGCACATTCTTAATTGGAAACTATAAGGACCCAACAACACTGAGATGTGCGCCTAACCATGCAAAAATGACTCCCAAGACCCTCCATTCTGGTGCTCTGAGTTCAGGCATTCCCGTTCTGTCACACCACAATGAACAAAAGATTTACCCGCATCTTTTTATCTGATAAAATGGACCACAGCACACAGTAGTGCATTTGCACTTGACAATGAGGAATAAGGACTTTTTAATGATCTTTTTTTTTTTTTTCTTTGATGTTGAATATTTCTACTGTGTGACACACTGCATTGTTATACTGAGGATATATGTATAGAACACAACTTTTTTAATTGAGCGCAGCACGTATTTGTTACTATTCTTGCACATCGCATGTTGTGCTAGCTGCTATTTGCTTCAGTTTTTGTTCTTTTTGCCAATAGCACAGTTCTACTGAGTGTGCAGTTTTCAGTACATTGCCGTGTGATGTGGTGTACCGCAATGCAAGCATGTTGCCATAGTGTGTTGAGGTTCCATTAAAAATAAATTGCACCATAACAAACTAACACCTGTAGTATGCATTGCGGCATCACAAATATGAAGTTGGACTAAAAAATAAAAAGCATACATTTTAAATGTTATAATTTCAGAGTCCCACACTTAGTGTTATAGCATTATTGATGTATGCTGGTGAGCAGACAGCGTAATTTACGATTTTATTTGATCACGCTTAGCAGCAGAAACTTCCCATCAATCACAATGTTTTCTTACATAGAACAGCAAAGAATAAGTACTGGGCTGTTAGAGACATTTGGATTTTTATAATATTTCATGAAGCATGCTGGAGAACCTACTTTGACACTGATGATTAATAATGAGAAAGCTAAAGAAAAATAACAGATGGTATATAATATAGTATTGATTCATCTCATGGTTTCCCTGCATAGTGGTCATTTTGGAATTTGTGTGCCGTGGTCCTCACTTACGTTCAGTAATGGTGCCAGCACCACATGTCTCCGTCAGTCCATAGCCTTGTCCTACTGGACAGCAAAAGCAGATATTCATAAAGCGCTGAGTAGCAGCCGATAGAGGGGCACCACCAGAGAGTAGGACCCTCAACTTTCCTCCTAGAAGTTTTCGCACTTTCCAGAACACAACCCTAGGAAAACATGAATGAGAGAAAAGTCAGTAACCTTTTTCCTCTCCCCCAAACTGATCAAACTCTGTACTGTTACTTTTTGTTATTTTTTTTATATTACCAAACATACGCTGACTAGAAGAATTACTCTGCATTATTCCAGTTCTACCATTCCATATCTACGTCACAGAGCATCACACTGTGCAACAGCAAAAATCAAAAGTACTTTGTATATTGAAGTGTTGTTACAATAATTCTGACAGCTTTCAATGTTTTAATAAAAATGGTGCTGAAACTGTCTGCACTAATCTACAGCACGCTAAATATTATGATCTCACAGAGCCCAGTGCCTAGGAAGCCATGTCTACCCTCCCGGTCACTTCTGTTGTGTGCTATTACATAATGCTATAGGCAGCTAGGCGAGGCCATTGCACTGTATGCTCTGGAAATCAAATGCAACAGTCCATTTGTTATGTGAACTCCAGACTTAATAAAGAGCCATTAGCAGACCCAGACAAAGATAATCCACTTCCCTAGAATGCAGACAAGGACTCCTAAACGGAACACACTCGGCTTACAATTTACTTAAACAGTCACACCACCATGTCCCTCCCTATGGCCTCATCTTCCTTCCTTTCCACAAAAGTCTCCAACATTAAGCCCTGCTGTTGCAATATATTTTTTCCCTTCACTTCTCAATAGAAATCAAGAATATTGTGCAATTGATGTAATGTTTACAAACAGAATCATGCTTTTATTCCAACACAGCACCTATCTATGTTTGTTGATGCACTACTTCTACCAAACAAAAAAAAAAAACAAAAAAAAAAATATTTATATATATATATATATATATATATATATATATATATATATATATATATAAATATATAAGGCCTGGTTTTGGCCATATAAAAAAAAAAAAGGCCTGGAACGTTAGCAAAAAAAAAAAATTTTTTATAGCATTCCTCAAAAGGGATCTTTGAAAAATGAGCCATGATCTATAAAATATGGGTCACACAGTTCTACTAGTGCTATGAGAACATTTTTCAGCAGATATACTGTATATCTGGGTTTGAAACTCTTAAAATACCCACGCTAATGGAGTCCATTTACATATTTATTTGTTCAGGCCGTATTTTATTAAAAAACAAACATTTGTTCAGGAAATCGTTGGACCAATTTATATCATCTTAGCTTGAAGGACACAACTGCGCAGACTAAATATAAATGACTACGTGGCCAACAATTCTGTCACCAAGGCAAGGATTGAACACAGGCATTTTCAGTGAATGCACACAATATCAAAAATCCGTTTAAGTCGGTGTATTGAGACTCTGATGTGACGCCGATGCTGTACCTGTCACACAGCGGGGTGCTGTATCCTCTGGAGATCTGCTTCATTTTGTAGTTGTAGGCAAGAGAGAAGAGACCCTTCTGAACCGCACTCATTGTGGCTACCTTACTCATAACATTCTTATAAATACGATCCATAATCTCCTACAAAGAAAAAAAGAAAATCGACTCTAAAAGGCAATTCACTTCTAAGTGACATGCACATAATGTTGTTTTTCTATGAAAACCGAGGAAACCGTACTGGAAAAATGCCTATTTAAATTTTTTAATCATACTGAAAGCCACTAAACTTTTTAAAATTTTACTTTGCGCATGTATCTTTTCTTAAGATGATATTTGAGTTTACATGAGTATGTACAAGTAAGCGCTGCGCAAACTGTTGGCGCTATATAAATCCTGTATAATAATAATAATAATAATGTAATGTACAAAATAAAAATACTCCCCTAACAACTAGTGGTGAAAAGCAGACACATGCAGCAAAATACAACAGGACACATAGTAACTATACAAGTGATATAGGGTGGATATTGTAAAAAGTGCAGAATTTCCGGCATTATCTTATTTCTTCTTAAAGTATCTCAAGGCAAAACCTTTACTTTTATATTTGGTATAGAATTATTCCTAATATTCTTTTTGCTGTCTCTAACCCCTTTGGGGATATTTACCACTCAATTTCTGCTGGTGACCATTGTCATGTTAAAAAAAAAAAAAAAAAAATCCCGGTAATTGATGGCAAATCCAAAATGTTTGAGTTTTCACTAGAACAAGAGGTAGGGGCCTAATGCTGGAATTTCTACATTTAGTGCTGCACAAGTTAAATTAAAAATTAGTTTGATATAGTGTATCCTACATATGGTGCTGGCGGCTTGTTTAAAGATAAGACACTTTTAGCGCAGCTTTCTTTTATATATACAAATACTGTAGCTGCTGCCTTTTCATATTAGGGCACTTACCTGTCCAGGGATTCATTTGTGTCCTCACCCCAAGCTGATTCTTCAAACAGCTGGCGGTTGCTGGCATAGTCATCTTGACTAGGGGAAACCTTTGAAGTATCCCGGAGGGCTACAAGGGGGCCGAACTTGTCAAAACCATATACCTGCTCCCCCCAAAAGGCGTCAAATTTGGAAGGAAGATAAGCGGAGCTTCCACTTTTGGGTGGAACTCCGCTTTAAAGTTAAAGATAGACAGTAAATCCAAGGTTTTTTTTATTGCAGGGTCCTCCTGCAGATTACGCCTCAGATCTATCACCTATAGTCATTAACAGATTCATTAATACATTATTTACTTTTATTATTATTTCAAACACAGCTAATATAAGTGCCTGGATCTCCCTATATATTAATTTCATCAAGCACTGTCCTGAACAACAGTACTCAAACTGGGAGAAGAAGGAACAGCACCTGTGAGCCAATATGGATTCTAAAGCATTGCACAGATGCGGACAACCCTCCTGACAGGAGTGACGACTTTACCAGTATCCTGCTGCTACTTCATGGTCCAGTCAGCAAACGGAAAAGGGATACCGTGAACAGGATGCACTAAACTGCAGTTGAGACCATATATGTGGTTATGCTGTCTAGCAACCGTAAGTAAATTAGGAGATGGGCAGAAGAAAGTCACAAATCATAAAACAGATCTGAACTGTGTTTTTAGCTGTCTGGATGAAATTCAGCTGAAAAGACCAAACTGACTAGGGGGCAGTAGGACAGTGTACACGGATAGCCAAGAACTAGCTGCACAGAAAAACATTTGGCAGGTAGGCAGGGCCATTATGACTTTCTTTAGGAGTTCAAAATTTGAAAAAGTATTCCAGATTTAAACTGCACATGCCTGTAGTGCTGAATTAAAGTTCAATATCTTTTCTAAGCCACGGTCAGTGTGTGAAAGGAGGCAGGAGATCTACTCTAAGAAAACATCTGATGAATGCACAGCAGACCCATCAATCATCTCACAGGCTTGCAGGAAATCGGTGTAAATATTTGTACCTGCATCTTTTCACACACTGTGCTACAAATCTGAACACTGAGTCAGTATAACGTCAGGGCTGCCAGTTTACGGTAATGCCATGAGGAGGCCATTATCTCTTATTTTAAAAAGCAACTTACTGGGACAGCAGCCATCAGGGTGGGTTGAAGCTCTGATGCATCACCTTTGCTTCCTTTCTTGACTTTAGTAGACTAAAAAGCAAGAAAAAAAAAATCCATAAGTAACAGTTCTACAAGTGGAGGTGTTTATAAAAGAAAGAGCTGCTGAATGTGAAGAAAATACAAGTTGACAGATTACAGAATGGTTTGCGTCATCTCAGTGTTCTATGGATTTTCTTACCGTTATATACAGAACACGTAGTAACTCACTACTCCTGTGATCAGCATTCAAAGAACATTCCTCTTGGAGTGTACTAGATTTTCAGCAAAAACACATGTCTATGTCTTGTGTAACAAAGAACCCAATGTTCCTGGACTATTCTATAGATTCTTACAAAAAGACTGAGCCAAATACAGAAATTTAAACAGCTATGATGTGAGAGTCTTCAGTTACAAAGACATTGCTCTCCAAGGCACTTGATGCTCAGAGGAAATAGGAGCCAGAGCACATGTGCCAAAACAGAACACAACACAGGAACAGAGATATGAACATGTGATACCATATCAGAGGTTGTCCAATTCATTTTATTTCTATACACATCCTAAGAATTACTGTAAAATAACAAATGATAAAAAGAAAAAAAAAAAAAAACCCCAACACATTTCACAGAGGTGCATGGAAAAATCAGTATAAGCAGAAAAGCGTTATGAAGGCAGATGAAGGGGGGGGAGGGGGTAAAAGATACATCTGACAAGGTTTTCCTGTACCAGACTAACATGAAGCATCATTCACATCCTTATATGGACTGGATATTAATTCATAAAGGATCCAGACCAAAATTGATAGTTTACCGACATGATGACAGGGTAGATTTATTTTAGGGGAATACCACACCAACATTTGAATACCCCTAAGGGATTATGTCATTATGTGGTCAACTAAGACTTACTTGTGGATACAGATAATCTTAACCCACAAACACATGCTTTACCCAACTGTAAAGTTCTACAGAAGAAAGCTAAATGAACATACTATAATCAATAAGGTAAATATATGTGAGCGCACATAAAGTATAGCAGCTGTGCACCAGGTAACCATAAAAAAACCTCTAAAAGACAATATAAATCAAAAGTGCAGCGCTAGAGGAAAATCACAATATGAAAATTAAAATGTATATACATCATAGACAGTTCATTAAGTGTATATACATCATTAAATATTGTTCATTAGGTGACTTGAAGTGACTTCAGGTGCTCTCATGTGACTTTGTCCTCCTATGAGTAAGGTGCTGTGATATAAAGTGCGATAAGAATGCGCACTCACCAGAACGCACAATTTAATGAGCGTTTTGTTATATTTTTCCTGATGTCATCTGCCAATCTGGATAATATCTGAGTCCGGTATATTCCCTCCTGTGGTCCTGGATGCTGTTAATGGGACATCAAGGTGGTCCGGAGCTCCCCTCAGAGTGATAGCTTTGCTACTGCCCACTGGAGGTTGTAAAAGCTCCCTCTCGCGAATTAATACTCCCCAGGGGAGTCAAAGCAGAGACATCTCCATAGTGTAGTAGATATAGCATTTATTATAGGCATGTGCGAGTATCCTTATAAAAACGAGGTTTAAAAAGTGTGGACTAACCGTCCAGAGTGTAAGATGGCCGCCGGAGCTCTACGATGCTCCGGCGGCGTGACATCACGGCGCGTTGTGGCTCCTCCTATGCGTTTCGTGCGCACGCACGTCATCTGGGGGGATTTGCCAATCTGCTTTGACTCCCCTGGGGAGTATTAATTCGCAGCTACTCACCTAACCACTGGAAAAAAGGGAGCTTTTACAACCTCCAGAGGGCAGGAGCAAAGCTATCACCTGAGGGGAGCTCCGGACCACCTTGATGTCCCATTAACAGCATCCAGGACCACAGGAGGGAATATACCGGACTCCAGATATTATCCAGATTGGCAGATGACATCAGGAAAAATATAACAAAACGCTCATTAAATTGTGCGTTCTGGTGAGTGCGCATTCTTATCGCACTTTATATCACAGCACCTTACTCATAGGAGGACAGTCACATGAGAGCACCTGAAGTCACTTCAAGTCACCTAATGAACTATTTAATGATTTATATACACTTAATAAACTGTCTATTTATGATGTATATACATTTAATATTTTCATATTGTGATTTTCCTCTAGCACTGCACTTTTTTGATTTAAATGAACATACTGCTGTGCAAAAAAGGACTGCGGGTGCCCTAGTCAACTCTAAAATAGCAGTGATATTCTATGAAACAAAATGAAAAGTGGGTACCGCCGACATCCTTTTTCAGCTGCCAATTTAAGTGCAAATCTAATATTACATTGAAAAAGTGCCTTTTTTTATGGTTATATTGCCTTTTCCTCCTTTTTAAAGAATGTACCTAAAACTGCTTAAACATATATGTGATACCGTGTTAATTGAGAAACCACTAACATTCAGAAGGTTCAGTGAGCAATGTCCTTCAGAAAGTTGTCCTTTTTGTATTTCTTGCAAATCAAGTCAAGCATTTGGTTTGGTAATGATCAATGTCAACACACCTATCTCAAAACACTTAAAGCATAGCTCCACCAAAAAGGGAAAGTTCTGGTTCAAAGACTGGTTCCCTGCTCCCCATTAAGATTGCCACCTTTGGGGAGTGGGGGGGGGGGGTGGGGGAAGCAGGTACCCGCTCCCACTGCGATCGCCTAGGCTCCTACCCTTCCGCCCCGTAGTCTTCTGGGACACGTAACAGGTCCCAGAAGACTATGGGGCCATTGAGGAAGCGCAGCGCTTCTTGCACATGTGAAGTGGGCACCCACCTGTGAAGCTACGAGTGGTCACAGCTGGGTGCCCACACTGAAGATGCCAGTGCCTGGAACACCAGACGGCTGGTGAAAAGGGCTGCGGGGAGGGCACCGCGGGATCGTAGGACAGGTGAGTGGCTGTTTTTTTTTTTTTTTTTTTTTTTTTTTTTTTTTTTTAAAAGTCAGCAGCTACAGTTTTTATAGCTGCTGGCATTTTTTTTTTTTTTTTACAGTGTGACTGGAACTCCGCATTAAAGGCTAATTCCACCTTTTGCAAACCCCCCCCCCCCCCCCCAAAAAAAATAAAAACAAAAAACGTGCCCACAAAGCATTGCAATTGCAGCCAGTGGATAATGATGCAATGCATGGGCTCCTGCAGGCTTCTCCAGTTACATTTCTGTACCCCAGGGGACGCTGTCAGAAACAGGGTGGGATAGTTTTGTAATGGGATTCTGCTGGCAACCATGTTACACCCTAAACATGGGTGTAACAGGCCAACTCCATCTTTTAGACCATCAGGAAGGGGTATTTGAATGTCCTGTTAAATGCTCCTTGAACTAAAAATTGAAACTTACCTGATCTGAGAGTGTCTGTGGTGAAGAATAGCCGACTCCGCATCCACGGGACAGGCACACCAGCTCAGCACTCAACTCCAACACATGTGCTAAAGGTAAGTAACCAATGTATGTGTCTCGCTCTCTGTAATATGGGAAAGCAAATTTATTGCTACATTGTAATATGTAACCTTGCCACAAGATAAACTTGTAATACCCTAATAAGAAAAAAAAAATACTTTACAGAAGATGACTGCTTTGGAAAAGGGCATTTTTAATGCCGCGTGAAAGCCTATGTTACAGCTCTGAGGTCACTGAGCACTGTTCGTGCTTACCAACCCATTGAGAAGACTGTCTCCCATAAAGAAAACTGTTCATGGGACATTATCCACATTGCTGTACAAGAAACTCTCCAAAAATCACATATCCTACACAGATATGTTACAGAGGTGTTCTTAAACTTGTATACCTGACAACACACAGAGCAATACTGATGTTTTTACTTCCAATCTACACAATTCATCCAAGGAATAAGCTTTCATTGTAAAACTGGTCTCTTACTACACATATGAATCAATGCACCCAAAATTTCTAAAGGAACTCCTTACAAAACGTTTTACCTTACTTTTGAATGGATTGGCAATAAGCTTATAAGTCTGTACAAGAAAATTTGTATAATATATGACCAATTTTCCTTTAGATTTACCAAAAACTATAATATGGGATGTCAAACCTAAACACTTTCAATTTGTATGCAATCAGGCAGGCTCTTGCACTACATAGTTGAAGGTAAATCTAAGAGAAAATGAATAGGAAAATTGTATAATGTATGGACAGCTTAAATCCTCTTATCAGATTTTTATGGCCGTCTGCAACACCACTGGGGAGATTTCTCCTCATTGCCTGTCCACAACTGTCATTGAGTAGCTGGGTCACAGACAGCAATAAAAACCTAAAAGGAGGTGCCAATACCATGTATCTTGCAGTTTTTATATTCAGATCTTGTTTTTTAGCTTTTAAAACCTCAATAAAAATGTATTGAAATAGGAATACCTAATCCTTTGCTATACAAAAATCAGTGTCTTATTTTCTTCATGTTCTGACTACAGTAGCGAATTGCTTTACTTCCGGTCGTAACTGCTGTAGCTAGAAGAGGAAGTAAAGAATACATTCCCTAAAGAGGATTTAGCCAGAAAAAAAAAAAAATCTTACAGATGATGTAATCTATCAGTCTAATGCAGGGGCCAGTTTAGTATCCTTCAGACTTTAGAGGGGCCAGACTGTGGCCAGTCAGAGTAGGAAGTATACTGGCATTGGTAACAATGCCCCATCGTTGGTGTCAGTGAGAGGAATAGTGCCCCATCGTTGGTGTCAGTGTGAGAACTAGTGTCCCATTCTTGGCATCAATGGGCGAAATTTTGCCCCATTGTTGGTGTCACTAGGAGGAATTATCCCCTATTGTTAACCACTTAAGGACCGCCTGCCCACAATATACTGTGGACAGGCAGATCATGCAGGCAAAGCAAAGTACTGGTATGTTGCTGCCGTCTTCCATGTTTTGGGTGCGCACATCTCTGCTGCCACCCAATGTGATTGTACACAGCAGGAGTTTGTCAGCTAGTTCCGGACTCACGGCCTGGACCCTGCTGAATGGCTGTGTCCAATTACAGTCCAGAGCCTTGTGTTGACAATCAAGGCAGGGCTCTCTACAGAGGAAACAATCTCGCTGATCACCGCCATTAATAGTGTGTGTATATATATTATATACATACACACACCATAGTTTGTAGATGCTACAACTTTCACACAAGCCAATTAATATACACTTTTCGGGATTATTTTTTACCAAAGACGTAGAACACATTTGGCCAAAATGTTTGAATTTTTTTTTTATTGTATGTTTTATTGGCGAAAGTAAAAACACTTATTTTTTTCAAATTTTTTGGTCTTTTTTTTTTATTTATATCACAAAAATTAACCCAGTGGTGATCAAATACCACCAAAAGAAAGCTCTATTTGTGTGAAAACAAATTACATAAAGTTTTTTTTGTACGGTGTTGCATGACTGCGCAATTACCCATTAAAAGTAGCGCAGTGCTAAATAGCAAAAAAATGGCCTGGTCATGAAGGGGGTAAAACCTTCCAGAGTTGGAAGTGGTTAATTTAAGAGGAAAGAGTAGTGACCCAAGGGCTGGATAAAGGCAAGCAAAGGGCCACATCCGACCCCTGGGCCACAGTTTGGAGGCCACTGGTCTAATCTAAACATAAAAAGAAAAATATTTTGGCTGGAGCTCCAAAGCTCCAGCCAAAATGGTTTTACAAAGTTCCATTTTTGCTTCCATTGGACAGCAACGAACCATCGAGTAAGGACACCAATATTCAGCAGAGAGACAACTTTGCTCTAAGTGTTTACACTGCAACTGGTATCCAATAAGTAAAGCAGAATAAGTTGGGGTAAACGGGTCTAAATGTTTACTTGTTACATCAGAAATCCATTCCTGCAATTTTTCTTTTTCAGAATGCTGTGGGGTATACAAGACTGCAGCCAAAAAGAAATAAAAAAAAAAATTGTTGCATTTAAAACTAAAATTTGAAGATACTAACAGATTCGTTTACATTTCCCAGTAAACTGCATAATAGGAAAAATTGTGATTTTTATCCATCTCTCTGTATCAGGGGTACATTCCACTGCATACCAACAACATCATACTAATTTTTAGAATTACTGACAATGTTCACTCACTACAGAATCCCAATTTCGTTGCATATGTAACCACACACAGCATTTACATTTTATAAATAGCATGTTTGGCATGTACGTAAAATAAGTGTGAATCCAGAGCACTTGGTAGTCTGGTATTCTGAACAGAACATTCACTTTAGAGATGAGCGAATTATTCAAAAATTCGATTTGGCTGATTCGCCGAATTTGCGGAAGAAATGCCCTTGGAGTCTGCTGGGGAAGAGAAATAATACTGTCATTCAGTATGACATGCAGATGAGGGGGGGGGGAGAGGGAGAGAGGAGGAGGGAGGAGGAGGAAAAGAAGAAGAAGAAGAAGAAGAAGAAGAAGAAGAAGAAGAAGAAGAAGAATGAAAAGAAGAAGAAGAAGAATGAAAAGAAGAAGAAGAAGAAGAAGAATGAAAAGAAGAAGAAGAAGAATGAAAAGAAGAAGAAGAAGAATGAAAAGAAGAAGAAGAAGAATGAAAAGAAGAAGAAGAAGAAGAATGAAAAGAAGAAGAATTCCAGTACAGCAAAAAGTGTATCTGCAGAGAGCTCCGCTATTTCTGACAGTTCCTTCACATTTACAGCGGTTGAAACATTGTATCTATTTGTTTCCGAATAAAAACATATGTATCCTAAATGGAAACAAATAGATACAACGTTTCAACCGCTGTAAATGTGAAGGAACTGTCAGAGAACTGTCAGAAATAGCGGAGCTCTCTGCAGGGACACTTTTTGCCGGCTGTAGAAGGGATGAAAATCGGCCGATCGGGAAAAATTCGATTCGTGCATCCGAAGTTTGCTCATTTTCGGATTCGGTGCGAATCGAATTTTTCCTAATATTCGAAACGAATTCCACTTCGCCAAGTTCGATTCGCTCATCTCTAATTCACTTGACAAAACACTGCAATATATCAGTATTGTATTTGCTGATGTGTAGCGGTCATACCCCAGGTTTGGTATTCTCTGTGCCATGCCGGTTATGCCAGCAATGATATTGCTGTGTGAGATCATCACTCCTTTGGGAATGCCTGTAGACCCACTTGTATACATAATCACAGCGATGTCGTTTGCCTTCGGAGAGGAACGATGCTGGTTTGCTGTGAGACAAAAGATATAGCTCAATATAAAAATGTTTACCAGTGTATCTAAATTCATAACATTTTCTTTTTTGTTCTGGATACAGCGACGATTGGTGAACTTCATCAAGATTTTACTGCCATCTGTGTCCTGTTGAGAAATCTAGTCTTTCGTTTGTCCCATTGACCACTGTCATGGAGATGGAAATTAATGGGAAAATCCAAAAATTGGCGTGGTCACTAGAAAAGGTCTATAGGGGAAATCTTCCAATGGAGACACTTGTTCTAGTGGGATTTTTTACTTTGAAGAGATTTTTATCCCACTTCCCGTTGTCTGTACAGGACATGAAGTGAAGGAAAATGTGTTGAATGGGACACAGATGGCAGAAGACTAAAGGGGATTTAACCATTCCCTAATCTTGGGAAGTTTTGTAATTATTATACAGGATTTATATAAAGCCAACAGTTTGCTCAGCACTTTACAAAATGAAGGTAGACATTACAGTTACAATACAATTTGGTACAAGAGGAAACAGAGGGCCCTGCTTGTTAGAGCTTACCATCTAGGAAGAAGGGTTGAGTGATACAAAAAGGTAATAGCTGTGGGGGGATGAGCTGATGCAGGAAATAAATGGCAGTTTTTACTAGGTAGAAGCAGTATAAACTTCTTTAAAGAGAAAGGTTTGTAATGTACTGTCCTTATAACTCATTTGCCAGTGTCCAATTTCCTAAAGGTAGCACCATAAGCCAACGTACCTGAAAACTCATCCTTTGGCCTAGTGCACTATATATATATATTTTGTTTTGGTCACTTTTGAATATTCCCTTATAGGGAATATACAGATTGCACTGTATTGAGCAATATTTGTCACCTGGTCACTTTTGGTATTTTCCGGTGTAATACACGTTACACTTAATTTGCATTGTTGCACATTTATATGATATATATTGATTTGAATATTTATTTAGTTTCATGTATTTGTCACTTGGTCACTTTTGACGTTTCCCGGTGGAATACACGTATTACACTATTTGCACTGTTGCACATGTTTATGATATATATTGGTTTGAATATTTATTTATTTACATGTATGTTTGTTTTAGTATTTAGCACTGCACTATTTATTTATTTACTGATTTGACACACATTGGTAGGAGAGTAAGTGTCAGCAGCTATAGGGAGAGGGCCCCATTCTGAGCGCAGGAAGTTGTTTTTTAATTTAAGGTGCAGGGATTTCAAAACTGTAAAGTGTATTTTGTTAATTTTACACGCTTTTCAGCTTTCTTTACTGAACTGTAGGCATCCAGATGATCAATTTAGCTCAGATCTCTCAGACATGTTCAACAGTTGCAGCTGACATGAGCCAACTGGTTGATCCTCAACTTACAGCTGAAAGAGGGACTAAGAAGATGGGGCTAATATTTAGTGAACATTATTGTTTTTCCCATTATGTGGACAGATGTCTGTGTGCCATTACATCATAAATTATACTGCATTTCTGCAGACCATAAGACTATTTTAGGTAAAATGGCTATTCTAAAACATTAATGCTTGTGCCTGTAGCTTTTCAGGCCAATAAGGACTTAAGATTAACACTTAGCAGCATTTTTATACTGTATTGCTAGAAAGAAAAGCAGGTATTGGAAAATACTACTCCCTGCAACACCAACTTCACGTTAAATGTATTGTATTCTGATAAGCCCCATCTTTCTGCATTATAAACGGTTACCTGAACAAACTTGCAATTCATTCTCAGTGGAACTGAAGATCTAATGCAAATTTGGCAGGAAGAAAAAAATCCGAGAAAGTTTTAAAGATTTGTCACTTAAATCAGAAATGCTGTCTAGGTATACTAGACAGATTTATGAGTTGTTGCTCTTCCAGCTCTACAGAAGTGTGTTGTTTGAATAAAATGACAGGAATCAGATTGTTTTCATCATGTGATGTAAAAGGGGATCCAGAAAAGTAAAGCAATTTCATCTTTAGAGAGTTTTGAAGTCTGTACAAATATTGAGATCATATAGAAGATTAAAAATGAATTTTATTGTAAAGATGATTTTGTAGTTACAATGATTACTTTTGGTCACAAGATGGCTCGTTTCCTTGTGCATTGATTGCAAGGCATATTGTCCTTTATTGGAGGCACCTGCAATCTATGTATTAGTTGAATAGCAGGCAGTATACATATAACTTGTGTGGTGTGCATCGCCCAGCCAGTCCCCCAATGACGTCATTTCCACACGCATGCGTACCAGCCGCAGTCTGGTGTTGAGGATCAGCCTGATACACAGGAGTATATGACCGCAGAGATATTTTTTTAGATGTTTTACTATATGGGAGCAATTTTTTTTTTTCAAAAAAGGCAGTTTGATACTTCGTTAAGGAACTGTACAATTCTTCCTTTTGATGCGACACTCCGGAGGTGACAGAGCTTATACTTGGAGGGAGGCTGTTGGAAGATCAGTCAGCTTGAAAGCCTGTGACCATTTATAAATGGTACATACTGTTTGGTAAGAGGCCTTTTTAACCACTTCCCGACCGGCTGTTGCATATAAACGGCCGGACGGTGGCACTGCAGGGTCGGGTGGCCGTCTATAAACGGCCTCCCCGCACCCTGCTTGTGCGCACTCCCTGGGAGCGCGCAGCACCACCGCAATCCGGTGCCCGCTGTGTCCTCCGGACACAGTGAAACACCGATCGTCGGACGGGACCTCTGTACGAGGTCCCGATCATGTGATCACTGATTGGCCAATCAGTGATCACATGCAAAGTAGTAAGCAAGATGTCACTTGTGACATCATTGCTTACTACGTGTGAAATCTGTGAATGATCACAGAGGTCACATGGTACAAGCCTATTCACAACAGGCTTGTACCATGTGACAAGCTGTGACCAATCACAGCTCAGTCAGTACTTCTCAATGAGTGCAAGAATGCACACAGAGAGAAAGAGAAAATGATTGCTTTTACATCCTATATGGGTGTAAAAGCAATGTGTAAAAAAAAAAAAAAAAAAAATCTTCATCACCCCCCACAAGTAGTAGTGACACTATACTGCTAGGGTGACAGTATGTAAAAAAAAATTAAAAAAATAAAAAATAATAATGTAAAAAAATAAAATAAAAATGTAAAAAAAAATGTTTAAAAAATTATAATTTTTGTTATAAACTAATTTGGATTTTTTTTTTTTTTTACTAAAAAGATAAACGGAATAAATTTTGGCAAAGATTTATGATGAAATATTATTTATTTGCAAAATTTTATTAAAAAAAAAAAAAAACACTTTTTTTCAAAATTTTTGGACATTTCATTTACATAGCAAAAAAAAATAAAAATCCCAGCGGTGAATAAATACCACCAAAATAAAGCTTTATCTGTTTCAAAAAAATGGTAAAAAATTCATTTGGGTACAGCGTTGCATGACCGCGTAATTGTCATTCAAAGTGTGATAGCGTTGAAAGCTGAAAATTGCCCGGGTCAGAAAGGGGGTAAAAGTGTCCGATCTTGAAGTGGTTAAGGGTGGTGTACAGTGGTAGAAGCACTGGTTTACATATTGAGAATATCAAGTAGACATATGAACTGTTACTATCTAATAATTGGCAGAAGCCTTATGATTGGTTTTGAGTTTATGATTTCACTTGCACCTTAATTTTGCACATGGTTCATATTTTTAAACACTTTTTTGTACTTTATTTGTGTATAAAATTAGGAGTGTATGAGATTTATCCATTTTTAAAAAAAAAAAAAAAAAAAAAAAAAACGGTTACAACTACACTTTTGGAGAATTGTTAAATAATTTTGTTAAAAAAGGAAATTGCACCAAAGTCAGAACACCTATTCTAGGCTTAAGTCAGTGACTTGGAGCCCTTTCACACTTGTGAAACTTGTCGTGCAACTTTGGGGTGCAAAGTCGCATGACAAGTCACACCCCATGTTTCCCAATGAGCACCATTCATATCTGTGCGACTTGAAAGTAGTTCCTGCACTACTTTGGTCCAATTTCATGTGACTTGAGGGCCATGGACTTCAATGTAAACCCTCTACAATTGCATGAAAGTCACATCTAAATGATATACATGTGACTTGTTTGTGACTTTTTAGAGCAGAAACAATCAAAGCCAAAGTCGTACTCATTCAAAATCGTATCAAGTCGTACTTTTTAACGTTGCAATCAAAATTGCATGATTTTGAAGTCACACAAGTGTGAATGGAGCCTTAAAGTACTGAAACCACTTGTTTTGATCAGCATTATACCAACTAGCATTTGCAGGGGAGGTCTACAACGCCAGTAGACATTTCTCCCAATACAAGTTTCCTTTAAAATGTTTGTGTTATCAATTTAGTCACACCATAAAGCTCTCCTACAGCTACAAAATTACAAGTTCACACTGCTGTATGCTCACCTAGCACTGCCTGTACAGAAACTGTAGAGATTAGCCCACCATAGATATAGATACCACCCTGAGCATTGCTAACTATGAGAACAAGTGCTGTAAGCGTGTCAGACACCATCTGAAGCTGGGAACGAATTGTGAATGAGTTGATCAGGGTTATGTAATGTGTACCAGATGTATGGACCTTGAGACTGCAACATCTGGTCGCACAGAACAAGAATACGCCAATACCATACTAAAAAGGGGGATGGGTGGGATGTACCCAGTTCATCACTTGCTTGAAAGATTCTAGATTTCCTGCTGTGCAAGGACGCTTAATATCAGGATATCTGGATTTGTTTGTACTTCCTGGGAATGAATCAACTAATGCAATCATAACAGAAAGGGTTGAAGTGGGGGAGATGTTTTTTTTTTTGTAACTAGATCCCAGATATTAGGTTATTTTGCAAGGAAAAGTTGGTTAAAATACATTTAAAAAAAAAAGGAAAACAAAAATGGATTTAACATCCTCTGTGTTGCCTCTTTTGGAGCATCCGTTCTTGCAGAGGTATCATTGAAAGTTCCGATTTATGGGTACATGAATACCAAAGCTACAAGAAGAATCACTGTGCCCCCTCCAATACAAAATAATCCAATGGTTAGTGGAATTTGGTGTCTGATGAAGACACAAGGCAATAATGGCAACATAAGGGTTCCAATTGCACCACTTAATACCAACAAAGAGCGCTGATAAGGCAGCCTAGGAGCTATGCTAGCAATTGGCAAACCTCGTGACTCACCTTGCCTTGCTCCAAGAGCCTGCACAGAAGTCATGCTGTGCACACTGATATTATTGGGATAGTTAGTTTGCTGCGTAACGTTGCCATCGACCAAGATGATATGCCTCAGGAGAGGGACCTGGGGAAGTATGCTCTGTACAAAAAAAAAAAAAACAAAAAAAACAATTGAGTTAAACATCAGTACAGAGGAGAAAGAATATGGTTAGCTGAAATACTGACTGGATACAATCTTACAGATAAAATCTCCATATGTTCTTCAGCGTGAGAACTACCTGTGTCAATGAGATTTTGTTCACATCAGATAGTTTTGCATTCTCATTCAAGTTTAAAGGAACAAAATCCTGCCTAAAAGAGGTTAAATCCAAGTTGTATACAGGTCAGACGCAGATCAAATGTACTAGTCTTTTGAAGGGTAGGTTTCACTAAAAAGCCTAGCCCCACTATATCATGGCACTAGAATCTAGAACAACACTGGAAATTAGACAAAATATCACCTCTGAGAAGCATTCACTAAGACAACCTGGCATTCAATAATGACTTGTGGAGCCATAATTGAAAACCTGTAAACAAATCAAGGTCTTTCATCTTGAGTTGGCAAGCTTTTATTAAAAATGCTGATACTTCACATGGTTACCCAAATTTAAGGGCCGAGCCTATCTAACTATATGTGAACTCAGACCAAGAATGTAGCCAACATTCTAGAAAATAAAAATGTATAAAGATTTTGTAGATTGCCGCTTTCAGCAGATTTTACCTACCAACAAAGCAATAGGTTTTTCTATCCAATGAACAAACTGAAGTGTATAACCTAAATATGTACCATACAAATTTGGTGAATAGGAATTTTATAGTGACCACAGTCTTTTTTTTTTTTTTTTTTTTTTTTTTAACAGAGAACCAGTCAAGGAACAGGTATTTTTTAGGACAATCAGTATTAAGTGAATTTAAAGGATACAATCACCTTTGGTAACCCTTTACACTCATATTCAAGGAGTACCACGTAACTTTCCCCAAAGTGCACCTGTCTACATCCATCCAAACCCCCACTGTGACAATAAGTGGGGGATCATCTCCCCACAACAGCTGTCACAGCCATGTCATTCATTTACAGAGTTCTGTCAATAAATGAACTACAGCTACCATCTGCCACTGTGGCACACGGCTTGTAGTTCTCAATGAACTGTGAGGGTGATGCTGAGCACTCTCTCAGTTTATTGATCTTCCTGCTATGCAGTACCTGGATGCCTGTATGGGAGGTATGGTCAGACTGCTATAATGAGAGTCTACAGTAGCTTCACATTGCATCAGTGATTTACTGATTGTGTAGGTGCAATGTTCTTCAGGCTCCTGAAAAAATAAATAAAATGCACATTGTTTTTACATGCAAAAATATGTACATTTATAATTTTTTCGTTTTCATAAAAATTGAACTTAGCCTTTAACCCGTTCTGCGCCACCCTATAGCAGAAATACTGCTACAGGGTGGCACGGGTGCGCAAAATCACGTAGATATACACACACACACACGTGATTTCATAGTTCCGGGTAGGGGGCGCCCTACCCGCGCCTCCATTTGCAGTCTCGGCTGTCAATTACTGGATCCTGGCCGATGATCGCCGAGTATCTCTGACGGGGAGAGACCTGCATGTAAACAACACAGATTTCTCCCCTGTCGGCTCCTGCACACTGCTTTGTATAGCTCTGCATAGCAGAGCCATACATATCAGTGTGCTTGCAGTGAAGCACACACACAGCCCCCATAGTGAAACAGCACACAGTTAACCCTTTGATCGCCCCAGACGTTAACCCCTTCCTGCCTAGTGCCATTATTACAGTGTCTGTGCTTTTTATTAACACTGATCCCTGTATTGGTGTCACTAGGGATGTCAGCGACACCAAGTCAGTTCCCCCAGTGTCAGTGAATATAGAGTCACTTGTGAGCCACTGGAGTTTGTATTCTATATTAAAATATTAATAGATCGCAGGCTCCCTTTCACATCCTTATATATATGTGCAGTTAAGGGACAAAGATTATAGTATTTAGGGTGCCGCGGTCTAAATATTGTATAAACCTGATTATTATATATAAATAATAAGATTAATAAACCTGGTGATTAAATTCTTCATGATCATTATTAGACATGTGCATAAAATATCAAAACGTGGTAACCAGTGAATAATCATTCAATTATAAATACTGTGAAATAAAAATCCAAAAAAATATATATAAAATGTCCAATAAATACAAGTCAAAAAATAAATAGAGAAAATACTGTGGAAAACAAAAAATGTTATTAAAAAAGTCTCCAATTGATGTGAAAAAAAATTAATCCAAATAGTGAAAAAAAAAAAAAATGATAAAATGTTATTGGAAATATGTGGAAAATCCTGTGAATATTCCAAAAGGCAATATACTCTCCTTCTAATCAGCCTAAAGATGGATATATGCTGCAAGGTGATCCTCTTTAATGCAATCAGCTGTTGATTATATAGACGTCTTTAGGCTGCTTAGAAGGAGAGTACCGTATATTACCTTTTGGAATATTCACAGGATTTTCCACACATTTCCAATAACATTTTATCATTTTTTTCACTATTATTTGGATTCATTTTTTTTTTTCACATCAATTGGAGACTTTAATAACATTTTTTGTTTTCCACAGTATTTTCTCTGTTTATTTTGGCTTATATTTATTGGACATTTTATATATTTTTTTTGGATTTTTATTTCACAGTATTCATAATTAGTAATTCATGGTTAAGAATATTGCACATGTCTAAATCACCAGGTTTATTAATCTTATTATTTATATATAATAATCAGGTTTATACAATATTAGAGCGCGGCACCCTAATACTATAATCTTTGTCCCCCATTGTCAGAATGCCTGCTGCAACCCCACTATAAGTCGCTGATCTACCATTACTAGTAAGAAAAAAAAATAAAATTCAAGAATATATATACACCACCATTTGTAGAACGTTCATGTAAACCAATTGATTTACACATATTGGGATTTTTTTCCTTTAGCAAAGATATGTAGCAGAATACATTTTGGCCTAAATTTGATGATTTTTTTTTACTGGACATGTTTAATTGCAAAATGTCAAAAATTGTTTTTTTCTCAAAATACCACCGAAAGAAAGCTCTATTTGTGGGGGGAAAAAAAGGACGTAAATTTAGTTTGGGTGCAGTGTTGCATGACTGCACAATTGTCAGTTAAAGAAACACAACGCCATATAGCAAAAAATGGCCTGGTCAGGAAGGGGGGGGGGTAAATCCTCTAAAGGGCAAGTGGTTACAGTAGAACCAAAAAGGAAAAACTTTGATTCATTTAGGATAGACAAAAGGGAGGGTTAAAATTCCAGCCAGTTTTATTCTTGCCGTCTGTGTCTCATTGGGGAGATTTTTCTTCACTTTCTGACCCATAGACAAAACAGGAAATGAAAGTAAATCCCTCATAAGGAAATCCCTGGTTGTTACCAAAACTAGTGTCTCTATTGAAAGATTTCCCCTCTATTCCTCATTTTCATTACATTCACTTTCAATGATAACAGTAAACATGACAAATCGAGAGGGTAAATCTCCCTTGTGGGGGCACAGACACCGATGGACCTGACAGGTGGTCTAATCCATCTCCAATCTATACAAAATGAAAAGAAGAGTTTTGTCTTTGGTTATAGGAAGAACAGGTATTTGTGCTGCCTTATTGGTGTATTCATGCAAAAAAAGGAGAAGCTTTTATGCAGTCCTTCCAGCCTTACATTGAGCTTAATAATTTTTGTTTGACAGGATGAAAACGCACGTAAATAATCAAAAATCAAGTACGCTCAGATAGGTATGGCCAGGGGCGGTCTGACAACTCATGGGGCCCCCGGGCAATAGGGGATCATGGGGCCCCTGTGTCCTTGCCCACACTCAAAAAAGCCTATTTAAAAAAAAAAAAAAAAAAAAAAAAAAAAAGGTACCAGGTGCATTTCATGGGGCCCCCTACTGACCCCAGGCCCGAGTGCTCAAATGATCAGTCCACCACCCTGGGTATGGCTGTACTAACATAACAATTTAAGAACATAGATTCCGATCACAGCTACCCAAAAGGTGACCAGTTCTCTTTAAAAAAATCACAGCATTTCTTCTAAACAGATATATCTTGCACTGGTAGGACACCAAAATATACATAAAGACCACAGACTGAAGGCTGTGCTGAGACTGTTTAGATATAGAGCAAGTACAATTAGTATAAAACAGAATTTGTATATATGGGCTGTTAAAAGTTTGGAAGCATTTAGCTTACAAGAACATTAATATACGAAACAAAATAGCACCTTCAGGTCAGAACACTCAAGGTACAGATAGGGCTGTTTACATTAAATAAAACATAGCTGTACTGAGTGAGTACTCAGCAGGATTTAACCGGTGGATTCACAAACAAGTCTAAAACATGGCAAGACTAACAAAAGCTAGCTTTCGCCATACCAGTAAAAAAGTATAATATTTGTTCTGTATTACCACTTCAAAGTCGAACAGACGCCAAAGAATCTCCTTTATCAAGTGTCTGAAATAAATGAAGTCTGTGCTGCCTATGGTGATCAAGAATTCCCTTTCATGTGTTTCAATATTTAGCAAAAAAGTAAACAAGAGAAATCTACAGTGGATATAAAAAGTCTACACACCCCTGTTAAAATGTCAGGTTTCCGTGATGTAAAAAAATGAGACAAAGAAATCATTTCAAAACTTTTTCCACCTTTAATGTGACCTATAAACTGTACAACTCAGTTGAACAACAAACTGAAATCTTTTAGGTGGAGGAAAGTAAAACTAAAAAACTAAAATAATATGGTTGCATAAGTATGCACACCCTTAAACTAATACCTCTAAAAGATTTCAGTTTGTTTTTCAACTGAGTTGTACAGTTTATAGGTCACATTAAAAAGGTGGAAAGTTCTGAAAGGCTTTGTCGTTTTCTCATTGTTTTACATCACAGAAAACCTGACATTTTAACAGGGTGTGTGTAGATTTTATATCCACTGTAGTTCCAAGGAGAAACACAAAAAGCCAACAATCATACTTTCAGAAAAGACTAATGTTACTTCAGACAAAGGAATGGTTAGATCCTTTGTCTTCATTTTTGTTGTCCCACTTGTCCCCAGCTTTCTAACGTGTCACCAGAACAGGAGGTGAAAGTAAAATCTCACCAATGTGGACACACAGTTAACAAGAATAGTAACTTACCAGTAAATGCCACATCTTAGGAGTACTTTACAGACAGAAAGTCAAAGACCATGATAACTGGAGATGACTGGACACTGGCAAATGCTTTGCTGGGAACACCCCATTGCACCTTCATATAGCCCTGCCACCATCTTCTCAAATAGACAAGATAACTCCTGCACATGCATTGGAGTCAGTCAGTCATCCAGATATACACGGCCATGTTGGTGATGTAAGCCTAGCTTCACATATGTAGCTCAGTTTACATGCTGTAGAGGGCTGAGTAGACAAGTAGGTGTATTTAATTGAAGAGACATGGCATGTTTCTTCTTTGAAAACAGCCTCCCTGCTCACTCTGTTAAAAAAAAAAAAAATAAAGAAAAAGCCTTTGGTTCTGCTTTAAAACAAAAATGTGCTGCTGGTTTTCCCCAAGTCAAAGCACTGATCCTTGAGCTGAAGTTGTTTTTTGCACAACAGAACTCCCTGAATGTTGGGGTTCTTTAGGCACTCCAGAAGACAACTAAAGATATGTGCGGGCACATCCTACAAACTGCTGGCAAAATACATTAATGGTCAGCGTACATATTGACTGCATGAACATTACCTTTAATTTTGATTGGAGGAGCTCCTTACTGGTAATTATGTGGGTTACTTCAGTTTCTGCAAGCCCATGGGCAATAGCAGGACCACCCAATGTTGCATATAATGTGACAACTACAAAAAAGGCAAAAAAAGAAAACAAAAAAGAAAAAAAAAGAAACAGTAAGGAAAAAAATAACTTTTGCGGACATGAAAAACACATGCTGAATACTTTAGTCAATCACATACTTTGATTTATAAGCAGAGCAAATGTATCCATTTTCATAAAACAGAAATGAATTGTGCACAATGCGACAATAAAGATAACAAAATCAGAATTATTATGAGTATTGGATCGGAGTTAACTTCACTGTGTCATAAAAGCAGCACTTAGTCTAGTACAGGGGTGGGCAAACTTTTTGACTTGAGGGCCGCAATGGGTTCATATATTGGACCCGGGGGCCGGACCAAGAGTAGATGAATGATGTGTATGTGTCATCCATAGTAAGTATAGTAATATTCCCCCATAGTAAGCATAGTAATTCATCCCCCATATAGTAATTCATACCCCATATAGTAATTCATTCCCCCATATATCCCCCCATATAGTAATTCATTCCCCCTATAGTAATTCATTCCCCCTATAGTAATTCCCCCATATTAAGTCCCCAAGTCCCCCCTGTGTCAATTTACTTACCTTTGCTCCACGCGTTCCTCTCGCCGTGTTCCCGCGCCGTTCCGGTCATCAGGGCGGACTGTGAGAGGAGCCTAGCTCCCCTCACGTTCGTCACGCTGCCCCGCCTACACACATCCTGACAGCCATCCTGACAGTATCACGCTCTGCGGGCCAGATTAAAAGGTCCGCCGGGCCGTAGTTTGCCCATTGCTGGTCTAGTATGTTACTACAGGGGCTGCAGAGGGTGCAGCTGCAACAGGGTCCATGAGGACAGGAGGGCCAACCTATACCATGTAATTATTTTCCAGCTGGGTGTTTCCATTTCACTCTACAGTTCAAATATTCAGATTCCAGATACTCTGGTAATCTAGATTCAGGGAGAACATAACAAATTTACTAACTTAAAAAAGTGAAATAGCTGAACGAGACCCTTGACAGCTTTTGAAGCAGATCTAGATGGTCCATGTTCACATCTGATAGCATTCTTTTATACATGCATTTCTTTGTTTTCTGATTGACTTAAACATGGTTTAAAAAAATTATTTAATCTTTAAAGGTGCTAGCTCTGGAAGCTTAAAGCTGATCTCCAGGTTTCATTTAACTAACTTAAAGCTGGTCCAACCAAACGATTTACTTCAAAAAGATGTGGTGGCTGTGTAGACTCGGCTATCTACAGTATACAGCGCTGTGTTTCGGCAGCAGAAGCGCTTCCCATCCCATTCCTGGAACAAAATCAAAGTTAGGCCAGGTGCTGCTAAACTATTCCCAGGAAACTTTGTATTCTATGAATGACTACAAAGCTTCCTCAGATTGGCTGAGGTGGAGAGGATAGCTGATGACATCATGAGCCAGAGGAAGCTTTGTATTCATTCATAAAATACATTGCTTCCTCTGAGTGGCACAGCAGTGCTCAGCCTGACTCTATATTCTCCAAGAGCAGGATGCGAAGATGTCATCCCACTGCCAGAACCCAGTGCTGTATACTGTGCAGCTGGAGGATACATAGTTTAGACCGTTCTCTCAGCCACAGCAAAGGTTAGTGAAGGAAATACTTAGTCTACTGTAGATCAGCTTGGTCTAAAAGAAGCCATTAAAAGAAACCTGGAGATCAGTGTCAAAATTAGTATAGGTCCTGTAAACTAAAAGAATGTACACAGCAGGTTACCAATGGTGGTGCCAAGTGCAAGATCATTTGCATTATCAGCCTGCAAAAGAAAGTGCATGTCCCGGTGGTTGTTGTCAGCGTGTGATACAATTAATCGTTTAAGTGCAAATATTCTAATACGAAATTTAATGAACATTTAAAAAAAATAAAAAAAAAAAAAATTTACAGGGTGGCGTTTGGATGTTCTAGACCAGGGGTCTTCAAACTGCAGCCCGCCGAGGGCAGGGGCGTATCTGCCGCGATCGGGAGAGCTCGGCAGGGCTCAGGCGGGAGGGCGGGATCAGCAATTCTAGAACGGGGGAAGGTGGGCTCGGCTTATGAACCCGCACCACTCACCTGGCCTCTCTGCAGCCAGCCGGCCATATATTCTGATCAGTGCATGCATCCATCACGGCCGGCGAGGAGCTGACCATGAAGAGGGGGAGCAAGAGAGGAGACTCCATCGCTGCATGTCGGGTATCACGGCCACGGACCCTAGATAAGTGCAATAGATGATCGATCTCCTCCCTCTCCCCCCCCCCCCCCCCCTCTCTCCCTCCTCTCTTCTCCCCCCCCCCTCTCTCTCTCTCTCTCCCCCCCCCCCTCTCTCTCTCTCTCCCTCCCCCCCCTCTCTTCTCTCTCTCCCCCCCCCCCCCTCTCTCTTCTCTCCTCCCCCCCCTCTCTTCTCTCCCCTCCCCCCCCCTCTCTTCTCTCCCTCCCCCTCTCCTCCCCCCCCCCTCCTCCTCCCCCTCTCCCCCCCTCCTCCTCTCTCCCCCCCCTCTCTCTTTACATTGTACACAGATCTGACCCAACAAGGTGTCCTGCATTTACCGTATATTTCGCTCCATAAGACACACTTGGGGGGGAAATGTCTGTGCATCTTATGGAGCGGCCGGCCCAGTATTCCCGCCACCGTTGTATGTCTGCAGTCTCTGGTCATCTCCTGTACTGTGTCCGCATTTATTCATAGTTTTTTTTTTTTTTTTTTAAACTAAAGTCCGGCCCTCCAACAGGTCTGAGGGACAGTGAACTGGCCCCCTGTTTAAAAAGTTTGAAGACCCCTGTTCTAGACATATGTACTCCTAGGTAGATGGAATCTAGTGGAGATCTATGAAATAGTGGAGAAAACAGAATCTGGAGCACTTGTAAACAGAAGCTGATAGAATCTGCAGCAGCTGCTTTAGGACTAAAAGTTTAAAGTTCAAAAGACATTTTCTTTAACAGCTAAAACTCCAAATACTCACTACTGAATTACTTGCCTTGTTAGGCATATAAAAGACAGACCCACTGCAATTGTTCATTTTCAGAGAATTACAGATACTGAAAACCTTCATGTACAATTAAAAGTGTTCTATTTTAACCCTGTCTTGTAAAACCTTGGGAATGGGGCATCAGGCCACGGTCTGAACACTGTGCTGGAACATATTTGAACTAATGTGGACCAGCTGCTTGAATTTGCATGCATGGAGGAGAATCCAAAGGACTTTGTATGCACACTTTTGTCAGCTGAATGCAGATCTGTTCTGAAAGTGTTCCTTCTCCCCCGCAGAGAGGAAGACACAAGAGGACAGCAGCTGCACTCCTAGCTGGGAGCTGAAACCAGTGTGGGAGAATAGGGAATCCAAAAGGCCTCATAGTCCATTTCTAGAGGACCAAACGACGTCTCAATCAAGACCAGGAAAAGGTAAACCAATCAAGGCTACAGAATGTTCTCTTAAGAGGTATAGGCCTGACGATTGTTTCACATGTTGGAGTCATATTAGCTGCACTTAGTTTACTTTTTCTTAATAGGCTTTTAAAATCTCCTTTTAGTCTGTAGATACTCTGATGTGTGGCATTCACCCAGGTATTTGATCATAATAATATGTTCAAATTATAGATTAGAATAGAGAACACATATAATGACGCATCAAAACTTCAGATTCTATAGAATAAAAAAATAAAAAGGAGATGGTTCAAGAAACATTGGAAATCACTAAATGCAACCCAATTAATGGTTATGCCTACTTTTCAAGTAATAATTAGAGTGATTGTAAACCCTCACCTTGTAAAGCATCCCATTCAGTTTAAAACAGAAATGAAAAGGCAAAACATGTGTATACATATATATATAAAAAAAAAAAAAAAACATTCTTCTTTGCAGTGACACGCAAATATGTTTTTGTTTTTATTGTGACAACCCCAACAGCCCTCGATTCCCTGAAACCTCAATACAAGAGCTACAGTTACATTGTTTGTTCACATCCTGCACCACACATCTTCATTTTCCTGGCTTTGCTGCACATTATAGCCCCATAGACTTCTATTGAATGGTCTCCCATCTTCCCTGGCCTGGTACACAACCCCACAGAAGTCTATGGGGCACCAAAGCACAGGCATGGCCAGGACAGGGAAGACTTGCAGCAATGGATGGACAGACAGACGGAGTCTTTAAATCTATTGAATAAATAAGAAATATTGAGTTGCATGTAATTTCCATATCTCGGAGTACAGTACAGGACACAAGCTATTCATTAGATCCTGTGTCATAGGCTGGTATTTTTAAGCTTTGCGCTTCCATGTTGCATCAGAAAGTATTAAGCCTTTCAACTTTGGAGAACATGCCATCTTTTAAGGCTAGATTTACGCTTGAGTGGGTGGTTGTGGCATCACAGTTCCTGCACCTGCAACCACACACAGCCAAGTCCTGCGGCTTTGTAGAGACGCAGGGCTGCCATTCATTCCTAAAGCCACAACCATGCAACTCAACCTGCAGCATGTTCACATGGTGTAAATGCACCATATTTCCCTGCGTCTGCATTTTTAAAAAGGTGCAAGCACTTCCAGACCTCGCAGCCATGCTCATCACCTGTCTTTCCCCTGCTGCAGTTCAGAAATACAGCTAGGTCACCTCTTAATCCCCATTCTCAGATTGGACAGGGAAGAAGCAGAAATAGACTGATTAGGTCATCCTGCCAACGTATGTACCTGATTGGCCTCTAGTTTGTTTGTTTTTTTTACTGATTTTATAGGTGCCTGGAATTCAGCTTTAAGAGAAAGTAAGACATCTTTGTGTGTGGGCATTTTGCTTCTAGACTAAATTTTGCCAGCCATATAGGTTTTTTTTCTCTCTAAAAGTCTGCGGAAGTGCGAAAAAAAAACAAACAACCCGTAAGTGAAAAAGAAAAAAAAAAAAAAAAGTGCAAGTGCGAAACACCAACACAAAAAAAGTGCAATTAAGGGTGCACTTTTGTCCACCCCCCAAAAGGGGTAGGACCTCTACCTTGATCCCCCAGGGCACAAGGCTCCTGACAGGGGACAAAGGGTCTCCAGCAT